AGAGAAAAGTCATTTTTTGACCAAATTTGGGTCAAAATGTAAGGCTAAGCCCTTGCAATTTTATCAAATTTGGCCAAAAAATTAAAATTCCTGAAACTTGCAGGAAAGATGCCTAAAGGGCCCTAGAGCACGTTCCCACTCGATTTTGGGACAGATGTGCCATTCAAAAGAAAACTGACGGTCATTTTTTGACCAAATTTGGGTCAAAATGTAAGGCTAACCCCTTGCAATTTTATCAAATTTGGCCAAAAAATTAAATTCTTGAAACTTGCAGGAAAGATGCCTTAAGGTCCCTAGAGCACGTTTCAACTCGATTTTGGGACAGAGGTGCCATTCAAAAGAAAACTGACGCCGAATATTTGGGTAAATTTTCGGGAAAATATGATGATTTTTTCCTCAATATATCCGTCGATGATTCGTGCCCAAATCTTCAAAGTTTGGGTGTTTGAGTATTGATTAATGCTCCTCTTGCATCCAAATGAATTGGTGGGCTATTTGGAGAAAAATCATTTTTTGACCAAATTTGGGTCAAAATGTAAGGCTAACCCCTTGCAATTTTATCAAATTTGGCCAAAAAATGAAAATTCTTGAAACTTGCAGGAAAGATGTCTTAAGGGCCCTAAAGCACGTTCACACCCGATTTTGGGACAGATGTGCCATTCAAAAGAAAACTGACGCCGACATTTGCGTAAATTTTCGGGAAAATATGATGATTTTTTCCATAATATATCCGTCGATGATTCGTACCCAAATCTTCAAAGTTAGGGTGTTTGAGTATTGATTAATGCTCCTCTTGCATCCAAATGAGTTTGTGGGCTATTTGGAGAAAAATCATTTTTTGACCAAATTTGGGTCAAAATGTAAGGCTAACCCCTTGCAAATTTATCAAATTTGGCCAAAAAATTAAAATTCTTGAAACTTGCAGGAAAGATGCCTTAAGGGCCCTAGAGCACGTTTCAACTCGATTTTGGGACAGAGGTGCCATTCAAAAGAAAACTGACCTCGAATACCTGCAGAAGAAAACTTGCAGAAAAGATGTCTTAAAAGGCCCTAAAGCACATTCCCACTTGATTTTGAGGCAGATGTGCCTTTCAAAAGAAAACTGACGCCGAATTAATGTGGGTAAATTTTTAAATTAGTGAAAATATCGTTTTTGTTTCTCAATATATCGATGATTTGTGCCCAAATGTTGGATGTTTGAGTATTGATTGATGCTCCTCTTGCATCCAAAGGAATTCGTGCGCTATTGGGAGAAAAGTCAATTTTTGGCTAAATTTGGGTAAAAGTGTAAGGCTAACCCCTTGCAATTTTATCAAATTTGGCCGAAAAATGAAATTGCTCGAAAGTTACAGAAAAGATGTCTATTGATCCCTAAAACACATTCTAATGCCTTTCCTGGACAGATGTGCCATTCAAAAGAAACAACTGGTGAAACATTACAGGGAAAATCAGTCAGAAATGATAATTTTAAAAAGAAATTATTATTTATTCCCAACTCACTTGCAGACGAAGTATTTGCGAAAAAAAATAACAAAACAAATTAAATCATCGTGTAAATTAGTCTTTTTTATTGTCATTTTCCGGTTAAAATGATGCATTGTTACGAAGCCTCTACCCATGCAAAAAAATCTTAAACTTATAAAATAGTACCAGAATTTGGAATCATCAAACATCATACAAAAAAAATCACAACTTTACACTAACATGGACATTTTGCTTTTGCTTTTTTAACTAAATTCCTGAAAACAGCAAACGATAGACCTACACCAACTATAAGTAATAACCAAAGGGTATATTTGACCATGATCAATAAAACTTTTTTTTTTTTATTGAAAGCACTGATATTGAATCCCGGAATTAAACACTGCATAAACAAAAAAGTTTTTAAAACATATATTTCAATTATGTTACAACAGTTCAAATATTGCAAATGTTGCATTTGATGCAAATCTACGAGAAGCCAACTGCCAAGGCTGAAAAACCTCACAAGCATTTGAAGACAATTAAAGCGGCATAGTTTCTTTCAGTTTTTTTCCCCACTAGTAGTTTATAAGAAACAATCCCTCAAAGTGACACGACATGAAGACAGTTTGAATAAACGTCAAGAAATAAGAAAAGACCATATAACCCATTGAACAAGACCATCTTAATTATATTACATGTAATCTATATTTAGTAAACCTTAATTAACATTAAAAAAAATTCCTTGATAAATTACAAAACAAGTATTGGCGTACCAACTTTATCAAGGTAATATACAACATTTGCTTTTGCTGTAATTGTCATGGACGGATTTGGGGGTAAGCATTTTATAGCAAATATTGTTACACTGACCTGTTTAAATTTTGTGTTCATGGACGCTGGACAAACCAAGAAAAAAATATGCTGTTCTTGCAGTCTGGTTCCTTGACCCTACTTCAGACAAAACAGAGTAATTTATAGACGTCAGCTAATTGTCAGGTCAGGCAACCAGACTAGCTGGCTTGCACCTGTTCAGGGATGTGTAACGATTGCAAACAAAATGTGGACTAACTAAATTTGGTGAATTGGGGGCAGTATTTGAAAAAAAGTCAGTTTTGTTTCCAATGATGATTCAGCCAACCATTGTTGGAGATTGAAACAAAAATTCCACTTTTCTTGAAAATGACAGCACATCAGGTGCCATAATTTCACAGGATGCTTGAGACTATTAGTTACAATCTAGTAAGGTATTTCATAATAATTTGTTAGGTGTTTTTTTTTAATGTTTGCAAATGTTGTATATTATCTTTAATTAACATTAAATAAAATGCCCTTTAAATACATGACAAACATTAGGTGTGCCAATTTTAGGCAGTTTAAACAACGAATGAAATCGGAATTTGTGAGTCATCTTCCTTTGGCATTCGTGGCATCTGAGTGTAATAATTCACACAAAGTAATATTTAAACTTTAATTTTAAAGTTTTAAACAATTATATGTACACTGGACCCAACATACATCTATGCTTCCTTTATGTTGCGTCCAATATCAATATATAAACGCAATTTTTGTCTTTTCTTTGGATGAATTTATTTACACATTAGCGCTTCTCACCACACGATATGAAAAATAAATAAGTGCTGATTTTTTTTCCTACATATTTTTTTTTCAATGCAGACGAGTTTTGAGTCTTTATTTACAATAACCCATATATATATAAAAAAAGAAAACTGCCATACATTTTTTAATTTATGTTTCTGCAACTCAAATTTTTAACTGCAGAAATTTGTGACATTTTTTTCCCAACTTAAATTTTATCCTTTTTCTATAAATTGTTCAACCATCCTTTTTTGTTTCTGTTACAATTCTTTAAGTGAAAAGAATCTTTTTAAACAAATTTTACTTCAATACAATTTAACGTTTGGTTCCGATGCGGAAGCTGTGTTACAATGGTTACTGTTAACTCTTTCGCTACGGCACAAAAACTGAACATGTCGTACGGCAAGCCGCTGGCAGCAGCTCGGTGACGTCGCTGTGAATAAACAGGGTATCCCCATGACGTGTGCCTTATCTACATAATTTATATCGTATAACCTCTGACCCTAGTTTGAGCCGCTCAACCAATGGCTCTCCGTCTCGCCGGGGTCTGCTGCAGGTTATTTTGAGCAGGTTGTTTACAGAGAGACATTTAAAGATGGCGGCGTCCACATCGACACACGGCGGAATTTCCAGCGATTTATTACGTACAAATGTGAAAAAAATCGGGAAATTAAATTCAGTAGCGAAAGAGTTAATGGCTGGAATGTCTTTTAAATAAAATCACACGAGAAAACGATAATTTGGCGTTTACCTAAAGTTGAAGAAATAGGATAACAACTATTTCTTTTATCTAACCACTCAACTTTTGATACTAGAAGCAAAAGATATCTACTTTCAATTATGTTTGAGTTTGACAAAACTAGTTTCTTCTAGTGCCGTCCAGAATATACCGAATTCTCAAATATTCGAATAACTTTTTGCCAGTTTGAATATTCGAAAACAAACAAAACTACGCACATACACACACACTGTGTTGTTATTTTATTACAAAGTTGCGGCGCTTTATTGAAAGGTGCCACTTTTTGTCAACGGTAACTTTTTTTGTCGACGGCGGTTTATCGTTCAAATCCTTTTAGCAGGTTAAAGCCCTTTACAGCAATAAAATTCTTAGTGCAAAACAAACAATGTGCTCCGTATCGCTTGCCACATGTAACTTTTAACTGGCGCGCTCTTGCGCAACATTTTACCAGCGCAACACGCAGCTGCAGCTGGCACTTTCGAATATCCGAATATTCGGTCAAACGCAGTTTCGAGTAATCGAATACTAAATTATACGGAAATTGACAGCCCTAGTTTCTTCTACAAGACACCCTCGCTTGAAAGACTTGGAAGATATGTGCTGGTCCCAGAGAGCCAGCCTAGTGTCGCCTTTGTTCCTAACCGACTGACTGACTGACTGACATGTACTTTAGTTTGGTTGTTGGCTTATGAAGAGAGTCGGGCAGTGCTATTGTATAGGATACCCATAACACAAATGAATGGGCTGAATCCGGCTCATTGTGTAAACCAGATGCATGAAAAGACTTCCAGTGAATAGCCACTCTGAATCAATTCGGGCGATTCACAATGCAGTGCGCCACCAAGAGTTTGCCGTGGATAGTCCGTTTTTTCAAGTTTACGGTCGATAAAACATGGCCCATTTGAATGAGTGTCAGTGGACAACTTGAGCTAATTTGTTCTAGATTGGGCATAGCGTTCTGCCGCCGTACAAAAAACACCATATTGATAAAACGAAAAGAAAATGGCAAACAAATACTCGAATGATACGCTTACGAATCCACTGACCGGAAAAACGAACAATTTCAAATGTCCCGCTGCGAATTTGTTAACCATCTCCCACAATGCACTGGGAAAAATAAACCCTCCGTGGCAAACTCTTGGTGGCGCACTGCACTGTGACTCGCCAGAATTGAATAGAATTTTGTGCACTCTGGGCCAGCTTTATTAGGCCTTTTAAAGTAGGGATTTTGACCATGTTTGAGGAATCACTGGTAACCATTTCTGCATTTCAGTGCAATAGGTGTGTATTTCACTATGTAACTGGTACCTTGCAAATTCTCGTTGACAGAGAGTCGATCGTTCATTGCACCAACCTGCCTTTGAAGCCATCACAAAATGCCTCGCAAAATGATTCTCCAAAACACTCAGTTGTGTCTAAAGCAAGATGAAGAATCAAAGCTCAAACAACAAATTTGCTAAAATAAGGTCCAAAGTTGCAGTTGAAATTCAAAAACTACCATAACATTTTTAAGCAGCCATTTTAGAACTACGCGTAGATAAAAACAGGAGTAATGCCAACAAAGAAATTTCTGAACTGCAAAAAGAGTTCCCTCACTTTTTTTTTTAATATTTATTAATTTGTTTTTTTTTCTATTTATTAATTAATATATTCATTGTTTGTTTACATGTTTATCTATTTATTACAATTTCTCAGTTCTGGAGCTGATGAGAGGGAAGGGTCTTTTCTTGCGGGGTTGGACCGACATGACCGAGCCGTTGGCTTTGCCGTTCTTCCCCTGGCGTTTCTTGGAGTCAAACAGCGTCGTTTCTTCGTCCGTATCGTCGTCGGACTCCGAGATCATGATGCTGCTACTCTGCTTGCCTGCAGTTTGTGGAAACAGGACCAAAAGACGAAGATTTGTTGAGTTTTTGGGAACATTTCTGAAGCAATTCTTCCCTTTTAGAAGAATTTGTCGTGTGCCTGGCAGAAGGACGTACATGTATGCGCCTACGCCCTTGTGCACAAACGTGTAATCACCAAAATGTTCCCAGCAAAAAGGGCATACGAAGAACACTGCCTCTATTTTAATGAAATTTCAGCATTTTCATCGGAAATTAAGACAAGTTGTTCCATCAAATATGATTCATACATAGGACAAATTTAAAATTTGTATGATGTATGATACGCGTGGGAGAACATTGGATTCATAATACGCATGGGGAACATTGCAGCCTTTCAATGCAATGTTCTTAAAAAGTGATTTTCGCATCAGAACGCTCACATGTGCTTCTGCCGGCGCCCTGACGAATTGTAGTTCGATGTCAGAACTGCTACATTTCTTGCAAATTGCTATGAAAAATAACGTCAATGTTGCATGATGACTACCGTTAGTCGGTGATAGTGATTGACTGCGGTGCCCACTGCTATATCAGATTTAAATCGTCCAGCCGACCCGAGCCAAGCTCGGTGGTCGAATGGTAAAACCTCTGCACTGGTAAGCAGGAGGTCGTGGGTTCGAGTCCCACCCAAGTAAGCTTGTGATGTTTTTCTCTAGTTAGTAATAGTAGTAATAGCGTCTGACTGTGGTGCCCCCTGCTATATCAGATTCGAACCAGCCAGCCGACCCCGGCAAGCTCGGTGGTCGAGTGGTAAGACGTCTGCACTAGCAAGCAGGAGGTTGTGGGTTCGAGTCCCACCCAAGTAAGCTTGTGGGTTTTTTTTCTTTAATTAGTAATAGTAGTAATAGCGACTGATTGTGGTGCCCCCTGCTATATGAGATTCGAACCGTCCAGCCGACCCCAGCAAGCTTGGTGGTTGAGTGGTAAGACCCCTGCACTAGTAAGCAGGAGGTCGTGGGATCGAGTCCCACCCGAGAGAGCTTGTGATTGTTTTTCTCGAAGCTTTCCAACAGCACTAACTACATGGTGCTTATGACTCATGTCGGTGAAGTGCAAAACCTAATACATGTACATGTATTGAATTTAAGCTATGCTGTTATTGAGTTGAACATTACTTCAATGAGCGAAAATTAAATGAGCATTACAAATGAGTATGCAGATTTTGCATGCAATTTAAAGAAATAGCAACTATACCATATTGTACTTTTATTAAAAATTCATCAAATATTTTGCTTGTTTTATTTGGCATAAATTCAAAATTGGGTTCTGCCCTTCACCGAGGTATTTTTTATAAACACTGTATACTCAAGTGTTGTCCCAAGTGATCGTGAGAAGACGACCCCAGCAAGCTCGGTGGTTGAGTGGCAAGACGTCGGCACTAGTAAGCAGGAGGTCGTGGGTTCGAGTCCAACCTAAGTGATTTTTTCTTTCTTGATATCACTCGGGACATCACGGAGTGTAGAGTGTTTATTTAAATCTGTCAGTGAAGGGCAAAACCCCAATATTGAATTTACATCAGCCGGACGCAAATTCCATCTTATGAATAATTTGGTGTTCTTATAAACGTAGACAATCTCGGTAGAATTGGGAATTCAGATTTCGTTTTTGAAATTATTACCTATTAAAACTTTCCTACTTTTTTCAGCTGTCAAAGTTTCTCAAAAATTATGTTTCTCATTCATTTATGTAGGATGCTATTACAACAGGAGGATTAAATTTGAAGAAATGAGTAAATTTGAGGTATTTTAGTAAAGAGGTGGTCACCTTGGAAGGAGCCTTTGTCAGTCAGTTTATCAAGCACACTCCCTGAAGAGATGAGGCAGACAGGAAGATGAAGGAACCGAGAGAGAAAGAGTAATAAGAAAAGAAGACGGCAAGAACAAAGAAGGAAAGATTCAGAGGTGAATCGGAACAGAACAAGTCAGAGATTAGTGGATGGGAGGAGAGGATAAAATAAAGAAAAACAAATCAGGAAGAAAGGAAATCAAGGGACAGAAACCAGACACCATTAGTATCATTTTAAAGGTTGTTATGGTGACAGCAACATAAAGAGATTATAAGCATCGTAATTGGTCCAAATATTGGATCATTTTAAATTTCAAGGAAGATATTTGACACAATTTGGACTGATCTCAATGATTCAAATACTGTCATCAGGGTTTTCGCTAGCCTTATGAAAATATCTGAAATTACAAGACAAATGAAGAAATAATGGGGGGAAAATGGATGTTGATGATTTTCACTATTGTTTAAAATCAATACACCCAACATTTTTAAGCGATAAAGAAACTGCTTCTCCTATTAAAACTTCCCAATTTCATAACATGTCCTCTTGCTAAAAACCAGGCATATTGAAAGTCATACAATTGGCTTAGAGCTAATTTTGCAAAAAATAAACAATTTCACAATAACAGCGGTAAACATTAAAACAGCGACTAAAATACTGCAAATGAAACTATAAAAAAAATGCAGCTTTGGTAAAAAAAAATGTATCTAGACATTTATCTGTGTAACAATGGGTGAAACAACATGTTCATGTACAGGTCTCGATTTACTGTATACACATCTCAGTCAGCTACTGGACATATAGTTACTTGTCAGACAGGTCAAAGCGGAGTTGTTTTTAAGTAATCACAAGTCTTCACAAATCAATCACAAGAGAATCACAAGTTGTCACAAGTGAATCGCAAGTTGTCATGAGTGAATCGCAAGTTGTCATGAGTGAATCGCAAGTTGTCACGAGTGAATCACAAGTTGTCACAAGTGAATCACAAGTTGCCACAAGAGAATCACAAGTTGTCACAAGAGAATCACAAGTTGTCACATGTGAACCACAAGTTGTCACAAGTGAATGACAAGTTATCACAAGTGATTCACAAGCAGTCACAAGTGAATGACAAGCAGTCACAAGTGAATCACAAGCAGTCACAAGTGAATCACAAGTTGTCACAAGTGAATCACAAGCGGTCACACGTTAAACACAAGCTGTCACAAGTGAATCACAAGTCACAAGAGAATCACAAGTTGTCACAAGTGAATCACAAATTATCACAAGTTGTCACAAGCGAATCAAAAGCTGTCACAAGTGAATCACAAGTTGTCACAAGTGAATCACAAGCGGTCACAATTGAAATCACAAGTTGTCACAAGTGAATCACAAGTGAATCACAAGTGGTCACAAGTGAATCACAAGTCGGCATAAGAAGTCAATCGGAAGTCTTCACAACTCATCACAAATTTGCACAAGTTATCACAAGTCAACAGAAGTCATCACAAGTCATCACAAGTCAATCACAAGTCCATCAATAGTCAATCACAAGTCAATCACAAGTCATTGCAAGTCAGTCACAAGTTGGCATAAGTCAATCACAAGTCCATCACAAGTCATCGAGCCTCAAGTCAAGTCACAGGCAACTCAAGTGAATTGTGACAAAAACATTACTTTGTCATTATTCATCCCCTGTTACATGTGACTGGATTTGGCTTGTGACCGACTTTATCACAGCTCAGATGTACGAGACACACAAAAAGTCTACAACAAAAACTGCTCAAAAAAATTGCAGCGTGCATATGACAGTGATCTAGCAAGTGAACTTTTTTTGTTAAATTTTTTTTGCGCAACACATCACACATTTATGCCTCACCATTGCCGTTGTTTGTCAACTCAGTTTGTGGCTCTAACCATAAACAAATGAAAAGGTTGTGGTTTGCATAAATTTGAATACATTTGCATAAAGTGTACAATTCATGCCAATCGCATATCAAGAGATTAAATTGTTACAAATGTTCCTAACTTCAAAACTACATGTACATGTATTTGAATATTCTATTAAAGATTAAAACCATGTACACAGTATATTCAGATGATGAAATTGTTGATTTGCATAAATTTGCATAAAATATGCAATCATTTTCATTCAAGGGTTAGCTTTTTAAAAGTTTCACACTGTCAAGCAAATTATATGAAGATGAAGTCATATTAATGATAGGATTCAGTAAAAAAAAATATTTTTAATGAACAGATTGAAAGTTACATTTCTTTTTTTTTTAAATGCAAAGATTTTACAACATCTTACCATTTGCATTCTTTGGCAGCATTTCCATAGATTCTGTCCCGTCCAAATCCTGGGACAGCAGATTATATCTCCGCCTTCTCTTCACCTTCCTCCGGCTCCTATTCAAATATATGCAAATTACATCATGAATATTAACATTTATGCTAATGTGAAATCTCACGTTCTGGTATTTGTACGCCATTCTCACCCACATGCAACAACGTAATGGTGCAAAAAGTATTTTATGAACAGTTGTGAGTTTTGTTACATATAGGATTTAGCATATGTTTAGTCTGGAGAATTCAAATATTACAATATGTTAGACATACGAAAGAGTCAGGATATCAGACACTATTCAAATTCATCTCACAAAGGTCATAGGTCAAGTACAAATGCCTTAAAAGCCACAAGTGTGAAATGGACATTTTTGTTTATGGCTATGGCTATTCTCTATAGCATAGCAGTGGCACATAGCCAAAGTCGTAGCCATAATTACCTCTTTATACAGCATATGCATATCCAGCACAGACCTCCAATCCCTACGACTATGACACAGACGACTATGATGACATACAAAATACTCCAATCTAAAATAAAAATAGACAATCTAGTTAGAATCTTTGTAAACTCAGGGGTATATTTCAGTGCAAATTTCAGACATTTTTTCCCAAATCAGAGATGTTTCATGCATAGTGGCTTGATAATGTAAAGCAATCATTGTCAAGTCCTCACAAATCACAAGTCAAGTGACAACCTTTTATCAGGGCTCATTCCTGCTTACTTGTGACCTGTCTTGTGATGGACTTGTGATGAGCATGTGATGAGCATGTGATGAGCATGTGATGGGCTTGTGATGGGCTTGTGAGTGACATGTGATTGACTTGTGATTGAATTTTGATTGATTTAAGATGGACCTGTGATGGACCTGTGATGGGCATGTGATTGACATGTGATTGACATGTGATATATCGACTTGTGATTGACTTGTGATGGCCTTGTGATGAGCATGTGATGAGCATGTGATGGGCTTCGGAGTGACATGTGACTTGTGATGGACTTGTGATGAGCATGTGATGACCATGTGATGGGCTTGTGAGTGACATGTGATTGACTTGTGATTGAATTTTGATTGATTTGTGATGGACCTGTGATGGGCATGTGATTGACATGTGATTGACATGTGATTGACATGTGATATATCGACTTGTGATTGACATGTGACCTGACTTGTGATGGCCTTGTGATGAGCTTCTGAGTGACATGTGACTTGTGATGGACTTGTGACCTGACTTGGGATGGACTTGTGATGAGCATGTGATGAACATGTGATGGGCTTCTGAGTGGCATGTGATTGACTTGTGATGGACTGGGGATGAACATGTGATTAGCATATGATGAGCATGTGATGTGCTTGTGAGTGACTTGTGATGGGCATGTGATTGGCATGTGATGGACTTGTGATGGACATGTGATTTGTGAAAACTTGTGCGTCAACTTGTCGTTTCACTCACCACAATTGCTTTCCTTGTCACCCATCCACGTTCTGAAGTAATTCTCCATCCAGAAACTCTCGCAGATGCACTGCTTAGTGTAAGGGTCGCACTGACCATGACCAGAACAGTTCTTCTGACAAACTACAGAATGACAGAAAGTAATATAGTACAAAGTAAACAAAAGTTAGAATCAAACGCTTCATAACAGTGAGTTTCTAGGTCATTGTGTCCGGTTGTAGGACTTCAAAATTCTAATTTGTGACCCTCCAGCATAAAACCAGTCACTTGGGCTGATTTCTGAAAACTGGCATTTTTGGCTCATAATGGAAAGACATTGAATAAGCTTTCCGATGATGTATAGAATATGAGAATTGGACAAAATCTAAAAATTATTTTCAGTTCCCAATTTTCGGGCCTCGGAAAGTTTTAATAATCGGAAAATATGTCATTCAAGTTTCCCAAATGAACTCCTTAGGAAATTTACAAATTAACTTTACTGAATCCACATTCACTGGAGGGGTCATAATTTTTATTCTGGTCGTCTTATGATGACGTCATTTATATAGACCTTTGGGGAATGTTGTTAGCTCTGTTTTGATACCCCGTTTGCTACCAAAGACTGTAAATCGTCCAAGTTATAAAAATAGATGCAGTTTGAAAAGATGAAAATTTAAAGATGATGTGAGGCGAAATTGCTAAGCACACATGCCCGTAATTGGCCTCTACCGACTGCATAGTGCCTGAACAAAGCGCGGGTAATTCAATTCGCATGCTCCCATGCATACAAGCACTGTGCGATCGATATTCCCTGCCGTTCGTTTCAGGCAGTGTCACGCATTTTCAGTCTTGGACGATTTACAGTCTTTAGTAGCAAACAGGGTATGTAAATGTAGCTAACAACTTTCCCCAAAAGTATATATAAATTACGTTATCATAAGACGATCAGATTCAACATTATGACCCATCCAATCTTCGAGTGTGAACTTTCTTTTTTTGCGGTGTTTAGATTCAAATTCCTTTAATCTATATTTTGATACTTTTTGCCTGTCCAACGTGTGGTTGCATCTCCACACGACTTCCAACTGGTTTTGTGCTAGAGGGTCGCATTTGTGATTAGCAAGTTTACTAAGCAATTCTGCCAATATGTTGAGCAATTACACTATTAAAACATAATAATCCTGATAATAATAAACAATTTTCTTACCCATTGTGTCCATTTCTAGAACCCTAAACTTGAGCAAGTCCGTCTCGCTTGAGAGTTTCTTCTTGGTCAGTATTCTGACCACCTTCGGGCCCGGCATTGCTGCGTTGGACGTGGAGTTGGTGGCATAGAAAATAACTTGCAGCCTTCACAGAAAAAAAACAAAACCAAAATATGTTAAATACTTTACATATTTTATAGATTTATTCAACTGTATTAACTTACTCCTATAAGATTTAACAACATACTCAACTAATTTCTAAACAAATATGACAAAAAATTGCAAGTTCAAGTACCCCTTTATGCTCCTGGGTGAGCAACAAATTTGAGTAAAGTGGCTTGCCCACGGACACATGACACAGCCAGATACCCACTTAAACCTCATGACAAACTTTCAGCATCGCACTTCCACTCCTATGCCACAACCCCACCCAGGACACATGGGTGAAAGAGAGAGAGACAAAGTTTGGGTAAAGTGGCTTGCCCAAGGACAAATGACATAGCCAGAAGCCAAAAAAACCCTGTACACCCACTTAAACCTCATGACAAACTTTCAGCATCTCACTTCCACCCGTATGCCACACCCCCACCCAGTACCCTGGGTGAAAGAGAGGCAAGTTTGGGTAAAGTGGCTTGCCCAAGGACACACGACACAGCCAGAAGCCAAATATATATGCACACCCACTTGAACCCCATGACCAACTTTCAGCATCTCACTTCCATTCATATGCCACAATCCCACCCAGTACCCTGGGTGAAAGAGGGGCAAGTTTGGGTAAAGTGGCTTGCCTAAGGACACATGACACAGTCAGAAGCCAAAAATATATGTACACCTTGTTGAACCCCATGACAAACTTTCAGCATCTCACTTCCACTCATATGCCACACCCCCACCCAGTACCCAGGGTGAAAGAGGGGCAAACTTTGGGTAAAGTGGCTTGCCCAAGGACACATGACACAGCCAGAAGCCAGTGTTGTAGTCGAGTACTTTTTTCAAAGTAGCGAGTACTGCCGAGTACTAAGGTTGCCGAGTACGAGTACGAATACGAGTACTTGTACCTCCGAGTACAAGAACGGGTCTCCAAGTACGAGTACTTGTACTTCGGAGTACGAGTACAAGTACTTGTTCTTCCGAGTACGAGTACAAGTACTTGTACTTCGGAGTACGAGTACAAGTACTTGTTCTTCCGAGTACGAGTACAAGTACTTGTTCTTCTGAGTACGAGTACGAGTACTCGCACTCGCATTTCCGAATACGGCCATACGGCAAATGGTTTATTGTTAGTAATTGGCCCAGGCCCAGTCAGACCGATATATACAGACCCACTTACGGCTAGCTGTTAAATGTGTTTGTCCGGACTTGCACAAAAGAAAATCTCGATTTCTCAACAAGCCAATCAACCCTTTGAAACTGAAAGTATCGATAAAATAAGGCCATGGTAAGTGAAGCTATAACATTTTTCCCCCCGAGTACTGCTATTCAAGTACGAGTACTTTGCTGCCCGAGTACGAGTACCGTCATTTCGAGTACGAGTACTTTGACATTCGAGTACTAGTACGAGTACAAGTACAAGTACTCCTAAAAAAGTACTCGAGTACGAGTACCGAGTACGAGTGCTACAACACTGCCAGAAGCTGACTTACTGCTCATTCGGTGTTTGGTACACTTGTTGGATTTTGATGTCCTCGTCACGAACGGACAACAGAACAGCCAGGGATCGGACCATGTCAACCTAACGAAAAAAACAAACAAACCGGCATCAGTTATCAAGGGTATCAGTCAATTAGAATAAAGGCAACTTCTACAAAATTTTACACAAAAAATAACTACCAAAAAATCTACACAGGGAAACTATTAACATGCGACACGATTTTTTATACTCAAGACAATAAACTATTTGGACAACCCTAACTTATCGTTCATTTATTTGCAAGGCCTTTTGATGTTTATGAAATTATTTTTATGAATGAACTTCATAAAGACATTACCAACCTTATCCCGTTGTGTAAACTTGGATGCTTGAACATCGAATGTTAACACCACTAAGTTCAACCTGTGTGAATCTGCAAAGAAGAAAACACAAATCCTCTTTGAAAAAGAAAGGCCAATATAAAGACAGGTGGGGCTCGAACCCAAGACCTCCTGCTTTCCAGTGCAGATGTCTTACCACTCGACCACCGAGCTAACAGGATCGGTTGGCTGGTTCGAATCTGATGTACATAGCAGCGGGTACCGCATTAACTATTCATGAAATGGCATTTTGAGTCGGGGTGATGTAAATCAAATTACATTTTGCCCTTCACCGACATATTTTTTCAACTTTCAGTCGGGAGGTAACACACTGAGTATAGTGTTTATACGTCGGTGAAGGGCAAAATCTAATTTGACTATTCAGATTTATCGTGTTGATAGCACCCCTGACCATCACGACAGCTTTACCACACTTGCAAAGGATCGAGACTAGTTGCATTAACCCTCCGAGCAGCGAAGCGGTGATAAAATTCTCCACATTTTCCAAATATGGGCGTAATTTATTTTTCAATGGGCCAATTAGACCAAGCTTTCATCTAATCCTCACCCCCACTATACACCACAAGCCTGTAGACTGCCATTGGCCAGACCCTAGCCACTCTGGAGTAAGGAGTGTTGAAAGACAGAAGCCCAGATGGCAGCTCATGCCTTTGTGCAGTAATTGGAGAAAATGGCAGCCTCAACCTTTGTGCCGCCGATCTCTTTGTGTCAACCCCTCGTGCCGCCCAGAGCTCAGACAGGTTGTAAACAATCCCTGACGATGTGAATGACCTATATCTTGTGCATGTACAGGCATGCGGGGGTTATTGACCTAGAAACACATGTGGTGATAAAATTCTCCACATGGTTCCACGGTGTGATTTCTTTGCTAAGTTGCTCCCAGGGTTAAGGGAGCAAAGTCCAAATCCAGTCTTGAAACGAGACTTACCTTTCACGACAGTGATGACCGCCGTATCGGTGCTAGAGGCACCCTTAGCGTCCGTCACGTTCAGCTTCATGTGGTATGTTCCCGCTACCAGGCCGGTTAGCGTCAGGAGGGCTTCGTGGGCCGAGTTTCCCACGGCCATCTGAGAAGATAAGTAGGAACGGACGACTGAATTAGCCATGTCTGAATCAGGCTTCGGGTCTATGGCTGTGGCTAATGCTAATGATGAAATCCTGTCATAAACCATAGCCGCTGCTGAATATTTAAACATCCACTATTAATTTGAGGGTCCTTCTTCAAATTCAATCATACATGTATATGCCAGTTATGGAGCTTGTAAAAAATATACAGAAAATAAGGAAACTTGGATACAACTTCAACAGACTGAGTGACAAACCCCCACCCACACACCGAGCTACATACCCAAGCAAACAGGCTGTTCGCACCTTGCTTCCATTAATTTGACGCAAACCCACACTAGTGTCTAATCACCTTCAATCGTGGACCCCCTATTGTCCCTCTTTCGTTTGTACTTCAACTTTTTAGGAAGACCTCCGATATGTTTTGTACACAATCGTCAATTGTGGACCTTCAGGACTTGTGGACCCTACGGTATTGTCCTCTATTGTTCAACATCCCCTATAGAATGCAGAAACAAACTCACCCCAGCAGTAGGGCTCTTGGCATCTTGCTTCCACTCATGTGCCATTCCCCCTCCCCCCCCCCCCCAAGAGTGACACACCCACCCAAGTGTGTATTTCCCTACAATCTTGGAACCCCCCCCCCCCATTGTCCCTCTTTTGTTTGTAACTTCTTAGGAAGACCTCCCATATGTTTTGTACATGATCGTCAATAGTAAACCTTCGGGAATTGTGGACCCTATTGTCCTCTATTGTTCGACGTCCTCTATTGAATGCAGAAACAAACCCACCCAGCTAGATAACCTAACAGCCAAACTTTGTGGGAAACACTGTGTGGACGTGGGCAAGTCCACACAACGTCACTGCTACCTGGTTTATGTGGACCTCTTTTGTTTGGAAGTCCACACAGTGAATGTAATGCTTGTACACCAACACACACACCCCGACATCAGGTCTCATAGTGTCTCGCTTCTTTTCGTATGACGTTAACCCCACCCAGATTGACGTTAACCCCACCCAGAGTGACACACCCCCAGCCTCACACCCAGCTACATACCCCAGCGGCGGGACTCTTCGCGTCTCGCTTCCACTCGTACGACACAATGCCTTTATCGTCCGTTGACTGCGATCCATCCAACTCGACCACATTGTTCGGCAGATTAATGGTAATATCTGGTCCAGCATGGGCGACAGGCGGATTGTTAAACTCTGCGATAAAGAAAACATTATATATTTATTTACTTTTTTTTCAATGGATTTATTTTTTACATGAGCAAACCAACTCACAACAAAATTTCCCGTGGGTAGTACAAGTCCTGGGGTCAATCTCACAAAATGCTAAGACACGTCTTAGGTAGGGTAACTCGTCTTAACTTGCAACTCGTCCTAGTATCAATTTCACCAAACTTAAGATGCATTCAACACGTCCTAACTTCCTTAGCGACGCGGCTGAACTCGTCTTAACTTAAGATCAGTCTGAGGGTCCTCTTATCTCATTAATGCGTGCGTTAATTTGTATATTGTCTGGAAATCGTTGCGGTTAAAGACAAGTGTTGGCCTACAGTTATAATTTTGAGAAAGAAAACCGCTGTAGAAACAGATTTGAAAAGTACTCTGATTTGTGAGTAGCTTTGATAATAATAGCTTATTGACAAAATTTAATTATCGCCAACACTTAGTCAACTTTTTAATAAAATACAGTGATGGAACGGGGAAAAATAATGACTTTATCGTATCTTGTGTAGAACTACATATAACTTGCGTGTGAAATTTATCGAGTAGAAGATTTTTTCTGGTGAAAGTTTGTGTTCTATCCACGCGCGCGGGAAGTTTTTTGCGCGTTTATTTTCAACGACTGTTTCGTCAAGCGGTAAAAATAAACACGGAACGGCCATCAAATGGATAGTTTCTATGCGTCTCGATTAAGATGGGTTTAGTGAAATTGGTCTTAGAACGCCTCTTAGCTAAGATCAATCTTAGAGCGGAGACTCGTCTTAAGTCCTACGATGAGTTGCAAGATAAGACAAGTTTCGTGAATCGGCCCCTGATGTAGATGTAATGCATTACAGGAAAAAGTCAACATCCATTTCTAGACATTGCCAAACGAAATTCACTTTTGCACACAGTGACATGGACTCACCTATATTGACATTTTTTCGGTGACATGCACAAAGTTGAATTTTTTACTGTGAACAACGATGTTTATTTGTATGGTTTCTGAATGTATTTGTTTGGGACTTAAATAATAAAGGAGAAATGATTTACTGTGGAAATACAATTAGAAAGTTGTCTGGGAAATTATAAAAAAATGGCTGAGTATTTTTTATTCCTCTAGTTTATGGATTTTTTCCAAAAGTTGCGTGATGGACACATTTTTTTATCTACCTTTCTTGACGACAACGTCCACTGTATCAGTGTCTGTGGCCTCATGTATGTCACCCACGGTCAGTTGGAAGACGTAGCGACCGGCTACTAATCCCGACACCACAGCGGTGGCTTTATTGGCATCCTTGATTTCTGGATCGTTGGGCCCACTGAATAAGAAAGAATAAAAAGAAAAATTGTCACAGAAGTGCCGTGGCTAAGAATTGGTTTGTAAGGCTATATTATTTTCCTCCTGCACAATTAGAATCCTGTAGTTAAGAGCTTATGGTTGCAGACCAGTAAATCGGTCCGAAATTGCCTACGCCGGCCAAATCACAATTTGCATGCCCTCAAAATCTTCAGTATTTGAGCATGCTGTGGGCCATGAACTTGAGGGTTTGTAAAAAATATGGGTGGAAGCCATGCACAGGACTGTGAGCTTGTAGTTCCATTCAATTTGGATGAAATTGGGGCCCTTAAAGCGCTCTATTTTGCAATGGAGTGTAGGCATCGTTTTTCAACATGGCGATGGGCTTGAGGACTATTTTCAGGGGTGATCATCTTCGGATGGAAATTTCTCCTAAAAGTCATCAGTTGACCCCTCAAAAAATTGAAAAGAAAATGAAAGATGATGAAATAAGCTTTAATTTGATGTGTGTCTCGAACACCTTGGAGAGTTGTGAGTATTTTTCCCGAATTTCTGAAGTGGGAGCATTTACCATTGGGGTCTATGGAAGTTTATTTACTGGTCTGCAACCTTATGCCCATGCGTTTCAGCTGTCAAAAAGATTGCATGTTCACTGTCTTTTCAAAATCTTTGTCGAAGACTAAACACCTGATATAAGGCATTCTAAGTGTCATTAGATTTGATTATATAATGTTATGTACCCAAAATACTATCTGTCAACACCCTTATCCCAATGCAACATAAAGGCCATGCAATAGTTCAAGCACTGCGTAACACATACCAATAACCCAAGCAAACACTAAGTCAGGAAAAATACATTGTGCAGGTTGAAAAATACAAAGCCTTACCAAATCAATGATATCTCTGGTTTGCATCTCTGGTTTGCATCCGTCAAAAATCGCAGTAAAGTCGTGTTCCCTAACGTGGCGCACTTCGAAGCTTACCCAAATGTCCTCGTATAGTGTTGCCAAACCTCTTTGTTGACAAACCTCAAATTCATGCAGTGAAATACTAGCACTTTTAGCTTATTAATGCTTGCTATTTAACCTCTGTGAACAATTTTGGTTTCATAAAATTTAATCATAAAATTTAATCATAAAATTCAAAACCGGTGGCGTCCGGAAATTGGGCACAAATTGGCGGAGTGTTCCCAAACGTGGCGCACTTGAATAAATCTCGGAAAATTCCAGATTAACATTTAAACATTTCTGTAAACCTGATAAATTCTGATAAATAATTATTATCTCTACTTACATACCCAGCCAGATGTTTGTCAGAAAATTATTTTCTTATTTTTCGGGGCAATTTCAAAGGGTTCACTTTGCACATGAAAATAAAATCGGAAAATCACGCCAAAATAAATTTTCCTTCCAACTTTGTAGCGGGTAAATAAACTCGCGATTTATGAACAGGAGTGTTCAGAACTTGATGAAATTTCACTTTCTGTAAAATTTCAGTTAAAACTTTTGCTCTAGGTAGGCGCTACAGGCGAAAAATCAAAGTGCGCCACGTTGGGGGCCGCGCCACGTTAGGGTACAATAGCCATGTAAAAAGGCTAGTTACAACTACCAGTTAACCAACGGGGTTCCGGACTGAACTTGCTCAGCGGTTTTGTCAAAAACGCAACAGCGCCCTCACCTGACTATTTGCCAGTGGTACGAAGTAACTTCCAAGTCATCGGTGCTCTTGGTGCCGTCTAGGGTCGTCGAATCGTCCGGTAGCGAGAGTTCTTTATCTGGGCCTGCGTCGGCCGTGGGTGCCACGTTGTTTTCTTGGTGGGAAAAAAATGTTTTAAAATTGTGCCATTATAAATTAATGCAAACAGATTTGAAAAATGAAAAAAAAAATTCATGTGGACAATCGACAGACAATTTTTAAAATATTTTTTTACTATATAATGAATATTAACTTCGTACAAAGAAATTGACTGGTGCAGAATTTGAACCTAGACCTGCAGATTGCTGTTCCAGTGCTCTACCAACTGAGGTATCCAGTCAATGTCTTTGTGGGGTGCTGTGGTTACAGTGTTCAACTTGTGTGCCGTGGTACATGGGTTCAAACCCTGACGGGGAACATGGTGCTTGTGCTCTTGAGCAAGGCACTTTACCATTATTGCTTCGTCCTTCGGATGGGACTTAAAGCCGTAGGTCTTGTGTAAGAACCCAGTAACAACTTATTGCCAAGAGAAGGGGTTTGCCCCGGTGTTTCTGGCAGTGGCTGCAATATGCGCCGCAGCACATTGTTAACCCTTGGGCGCTACATAATTGGTCTCATTTTTCTCATAAACTTCATTTACCTGTCTTTAATAATAGACATAATTACCAGCGCCTTGAGTACCTAATTGTTGGTAGATACGTGCGCTACATAAGACTCCGGTATTATTTTTATTGTTCAAGGGGCGCTAGTCAGAAGCCATAAACCAGTATATGCCATGTAGCCAGGGATCACGCCCAAAGTCGTGATGCTAGCAATGTTAGCAATGCTGCAAACCAGGGAAACAGAAATTAGAGATTACTCAGAAATCACAGGGCGAGTCAAAAAAAGAGGAACCCAAACCTCAAAAAATACATTTCATATTTAAAAAAATATGTAGCACCAAAAATAATAATGACTGGAAAGCTAATTTCATAAACTACTTTTACATGAAAGAATTAGTTAAATTGCTCAATCCGTTCAAAGGTTCAAAGTATATCTCCATTTAAACACAATGACCCTAACACCTCTTTCGTCTAAAAATTTAATTTCAAGAATCATCGTCACAATTGTCTTCAAACATCACCAGCGATAAAACCTCGGATTAAAAGTTAAAAATATTTAACAAAGTCCTTTTGAAAGCCCGTCTTTTGAAGAGAAAAAAGTGGATTTTAAAAATCATATTGTTTGCCTAATCATGGTTGATAATAAAGATATTGTGTACTACAGTTGTTGAAAAAAGTATTCCGTGCCATTTTCTTTGTTGTTCCAAACATTCAGAACACACAATAAATTGCTTTTTTTTTGGACGAAAGAGGTTTTAGGGTAATTGCGTTTAAATGGTGATATTCTTTGAACAGATTGAGCAATTTCAATAATTTTTTCATCTTAAAGTAGTTTATGAAATTGGCTTTCCAGTCATTATTATTTTTGGTGCTACATATTTTGGTGAATATGAAATATATTTTTGGGGGTTTGGGTTCCGCTTTTTTTGACTCGCCCTGTATTAAAGTGAAGTGAATCTTTGAATACCTGGTTTGACGATAACTGTAGCCTCGTCTGAATCTTTCCTTCCCTTGGAGTCTGTGACCGTCAATCGGAAGATGTAGGTCCCTTCTTCAAGATTGTTCAGGTGAAATACGGGAGAGGAGGAACCCTGAAAATAAAGGTATCGCAAAAAAATTGTGGCTTCTTGGCTTATCTTTATTTGTATGTTTTAACCCTAACTCCCTAGGCCTTTTTGCTAGGATGTAGCCTCAATCCTGCAAAATCTTCCAATTGGCCTCCAAAATCCTCCAATTGGTCTCATGGAAAAATAGCATGCCTCAATCCTGCAAATTCCTCCATTATTTCTTGAATATGGTCCATGCAGGGGTGACCACTGCCTGAATCCTGCAAAATCCTGCGGCAGTGACTGTCAATATGTTTAGGCTTGGCCAGTGACATGGAGCAGTACGGAGGATTTCAAGCATAATCCAGGCCTATATTTATGCAGTGCTGAGCAAAAACGACACAAGGTCCGGCCCAAGACCGTGACAAAGTGCATCCTCTGAAATCAGTAATGATTGCCATGTAACGTCAATCCTCCAAATTCCTCCACTTTGGCAAAGAGGATTTTGAAGGATTCAGGGCAGTTAGGGTTAATACCAGTTTTTGACACTGCACAGATGTTATGTTGTTGGACGCCACTAAAATGTCATTAATTGTGGTTTGCGTAGGTAAATGGCAATTTTGCTAAATTTAAAATTTAGTATGTGATAAACTAGATTTCAGAATATGACTAAAGGATTGAAACTTGTTAAATGTTGATCATTTTCTCCACACCCCCCCCCCCCAAAAAACCCTTCTCTTACAACTTGGGGCAAGTTTGCGCAAGAACTATTGTTGACCATTGGTTAACCATAGTTTGACTAAGTTAGCCCGAACTCTGTCTAGTTGCCGGTGGTTGACTACGCTAGTTGCTGGTGGTTGACTACGCTAGTCCCCTACTGGGGTTGGTTGCATCGCTGGTAACCAATAGCTGTGCGCATTATTAACGTACAGCAGGGAGCCAGGACCCAGAAACTTGGGATGACATTTTGACCAGCGTTTGACTAGAGACGTTTGCACGTTGCTATCAGTGCGCAGGCGTAAGGTACGTCATAAATCAACCACTAGTCGACTAATGGTCCTCGCCAGAACTTGGCAAAAAACGCAATGTGCCATATTTTTTTTGTGGACTTACCGACATATCAGCCACTGGTCCGCTGTCTTTGGACCATTCATAGACCATACCGGGTGGTCGTCAAAGCTACCGTTGCCGTAGAGAACAGCCGAGTTGACGGGCAGCTTGATGATGACGTCTTTGCCGGCTTTGGCAACCGGGGGATTGTCAATTTCTGCAAATAAAATACATCTATTTTGTAACAAAAATGACTTACTGTGAAGGTTATGATACCGCGTTTGTTAGACCTCATTTAGAGGATACGAAAGCCCAATTCATAAGCTTTCTTTTTGTACAAGAATCATTCAAATCACTCGTACTTTTCAAGTTACAGAATTTTAAACACAACCACCGTTTTAAAGTTCTGTCCACGGATCACAAAAACAGGTGTGCGTTCTTTCAGCAAAACGAAATAATTCACACACATCCCTATGTGATTTGTTTTCCTTTTGCTGAAATTCAGCTAGAACGGTCACTTGGTCACTGTAACTGCGGATCACAATAGTGTATACTTACTGTAGATCGAAGCGAGGCTATGTATAAAGCCACGTTCACGGGTCTATCTACCAACCTTCTTTGACGGTAACGTTGGCAAGTGCCGAGTCCGTAATGCCGTCCGAATCTGTCACAGTCAATCTGAAACAAACCAACAACCAAACAATAAGTATGAACAACTAATTTATATAAGATTTTAAGAGTTGAACACTGGAGTATCAGTATTGTTTCAGTTTGCGGTAACACAATGCAGCAATAACTACTGCTGCTCAGTATTTAGTTCTGAAAAGAACTAGTCCTGCTTAAGTAAGATTTGAGGCTTTGCATGGTGGAGATACTAAATAATGAAAGGTTTGCGGAAACACCATGTGCGAATAATTTCTCAACTAAGAGAATGGTTCTGAAAAGAACCAGAGGTATAAACTCGACGTTCCGGTCAGTATGCTCTGACCGTCTTCAGGAGAGTGCCTAAACTCTAAGAAAGTGAAAACTTAAGTAGCAAAAGGCAAAGTCAATGAAGTGAGAAGTTGCATCCTGTGAGGATGCCAAGTAGACAGGATCCTAGAACAAGCTTCCTAGTCCTGCTTAATCAACTTTCGCTAAGTAGTTATTGTTCTGATAAGAACAGTCCTGCTTTCAGTTCTAAAAGAACTTGTCTTTGGTCTCAACGTTTCGACTAGCCTGCTCTTGTCATCGTCAGGAGACTGAGGAGAGTTGGAGATGCTGCTCCATAAGAAGGCTGTGTTAGGATTGGGGTTGCTTGTGTTGGTAGACTCTGGTTGGTTGTCTGTTGGGCATTGTGTTGGAGTGGGACGCCCGAGTGTGTCCTGCTCGCTCAGGTTCTTATCAGAACTGAAACTACTTAGCGAAAGTTGACAGTAAGCAGGACAAGTTCTTATCAGAACTAAATATGTACTGAACCACAGTAGTTATTACCACATGGTGTTACCGCAGACCTAAAAGAAACTAATTTATATTTTGCAAGTGCACAGCCCTGTATCGCCCTCCCATGAGCCTCAGGCGCCATCGCTAATGCCTCCAAGAGTCCCATCCAATGGTCACCCCCAAATTTCTCTCAGTAACCATTGAGGGTGTACTTGTGCCTTGCGTCCTTAAGGGTGCACATGACCAAAACCTGAAAATTAGTGCGTGCGAGCTCATTAATATTTTGTGATCCCACAGGTTATTTTGAAAAAGAGGTCCTTGCGGCCTATACTTGGGGCATTTTGTAGAAAATTTTCTGGAGATCAAGCATTTGTTACATGTGGCTGTCAACTTGGGGGATTTCGTTCACAAAAAGCCTTAACTTGTGGGCCTATTTTGCATAGAGGCGGGGGGCTACATGTAGACCTTGGCCAAGAGATTGACATGTTAGGGGCGTTTTGGGGATGGGAATATAAAAAAAGATTCACCCGGTTACCACCAATAAAATTGAAAAGAAAAATGTCCAGGGGGTCGAAATCTTTAATTTCCAGCGGGAAAAAAAACCTCGCCGCCTTGCTCCTGAGCGTCACCAAGCGGCGCTGTCTATGTCAGATTTTGTGTTGTATTCTATGAGCGCGTATTTGGTGTATTGGAACCTGTAAACCACAAATCATTGGCATTTTACCTGATGACGTAAGGCCCCGGTACCAGGTCGGTCAGTTGTAGCGTCTGGCCGTCTCCGGTTATCTTAGTTTCTCTGACGGGGCCTTCAATCTCCTGCCAGTGGTAACTCACAATATCGTCGTCATCTGTGCTATCTGAAAAGTCAAAAAAATAATTTTGTTTTTAAAACAATACATCATTTCTGAATCAAAATTTCAGTTCACAAATAAGTAACTTATAAAGATTAACTAGAGTATAATCTAATAAGTAAAAAGTAACTTAAAATAAGTACAACTTTCTTGAAGTATCAAATTGCTTATTAAATTTATGTGCTTAGCAAAAACATGCAGAGAAGCAGTTACATGCAAAATACATCCAATGATATCTTGGCTGGTAACCTTTTTTTTTTTCGCTGAGCAAATATTTTCCACGCTTAGCAAATTGCTGTGCTTAGCAAAAATCAGTCGGGAACTGTCACAAGCAATGAGCATTGTGTGACATTTTAGCTGGCAACCTGTTTTGCTAAGCAAATATTTTCTGTGCTGAGCAGATTTCTGTGCTTAGCGAGAATTAGCTGGGAACCAGTCACAAGCAACGTATATTGTGTAACATTTTGGCTGGTAATCTGTTTTTGCTAAGCAAATATTTTCCACGCTTAGTAGCAGATTTACGTGCTTAGCAAAAATCAGCCAGGAACCAGTCACGAGCAATGGACATTGTGTGACATTTTGGCTGGTAACCTCTCTTGCTAAGCAAATATTTTCTGTGCTGAGCAGATTTGTGTGCTCAGCAAGAATCAGCTGGGAAGCAGTCACAAGCAATGTGCATTGTGTGACATTTTGGCAGGTGACCTGTTTTTGCTAAGCAAATATTTTCCATGCTTAGTAGCAGATTTATGTGCTTAGCAAAAATCAGCCAGGAACCAGTCACGAGCAATGAGCATTGTGTGACATTTTGGCTGGTAACCTGTTTTTGCTAAGCAAATATTTTCCGTGCTTAGCAGATTTCTGTGCTTAGCGAGAATCAGCTGGGAACCAGTCACAAGCAATGTACATTGTGTAACATTTTGGCTGGTAACCTGTGTTTGCTAAGCAAATATTTTCCATGCTTAGGAGATTCATGTGCTTAGCAAGCATCAGCCGGGAACCAGTCACCAGCAATGAATATTGTGTAACATTTTGGCTGGTAATCTGTTTTTGCTAAGCAAATATTTTCCACGCTTAGTAGCAGATTTACGTGCTTAGCAAAAATCAGCAAGGAACCAGTCACGAGCAATGGACATTGTGTGACATTTTGGCTGGTAACCTCTCTTGCTAAGCAAATATTTTCTGTGCTGAGCAGATTTGTGTGCTCAGCAAGAATCAGCTGGGAAGCAGTCACAAGCAATGTGTATTGTGTGACATTTTGGCAGGTGACCTGTTTTTGCTAAGCAAATATTTTCCATGCTTAGTAGCAGATTTATGTGCTTAGCAAAAATCAGCCAGGAACCAGTCACGAGCAATGGACATTGTGTGACATTTTGGCTGGTAACCTGTTTTTGCTAAGCAAATATTTTCCGTGCTTAGCAGATTTCTGTGCTTAGCGAGAATCAGCTGGGAACCAGTTACAAGCAATATACATTATTTGATATATTAGCTGGTAACCTGTTTTTGCTAAGCAAATATTTTCTGTGCTTAGCAAATTTCTGTGCTTAGCAAGAGTCAGCCGGGAACCAGTTACAAGCAGTATACATCACATGATATTTTGGTTAGTAACTTGTTCATGCTAAGCAAATATTTTCCACGCTTAGCTAGGATTGGAGGGACATACCTGAACCGTCTAGGTAGGTTCCTGGATTCGGAAGAATAATTTCTTGGCTAGGCGGATTGATGACTGCCTTTGGGGGTTGGTTGACACGCGGCGGGGCGAGTACCGTCACGTTGACTGTCGCGGAGCCGTAGGACCCCTCGCCCCAGACCTCAATTTTGAATTTGTAGACACCGGCCGATAACTGGAAAAAAATCCCAAATTGATACACAATTGAAAAATATATTGAATCTATGAAATGTTAATTTCCTATATACATACTGTTCGTGTTCTTCAACAAATTCAATATTTTTCTGCTCATGACTTTTCATCTTTTTACATGTTTGTTTTAGTTTAAAACCCCCTCCCCCCCCCCAAAAAAAAAATTAACTTTTACCATTTTAGGTATTATCTCCAAAGTCTCTGTTTCAGGTTGCTTTTGTGCACAAACAATCCGCCTTGTGAGTAGACTGGTTCCCGGTCCCTACATTATTGATCCTGATAGGGTCAGGAACCATTCTACGCTCTGAAAACTGAATATCATCTGGCTGCAAATCGTTCAAAATTTGTCGTAAATTTGACAGGAATTTTAACCTACTTACTTAACTTATTTGAATTTTTTTTTGTAATGTAGTGAAGTATAGCTCTTCAACCATACATGTACGTGGTGAAAAAATCTTTAAAAAAAAATCGCAAGAATAGTGTTATTATGCTCATTTGAATACAAGTCACCAAAATCACTGTTGTCCACGTGTAAGTCTAGTGTAGTGTTTTTTTGTCTTCAAATCAAGCTCCGGAGCTCAGTCAAGCGGATGGAATAAAGCCGTCCGTGGACAAACAGGTTTGGCACATGAAATTTTTAAACTACCATATCTCAGAGACAAAATGTGCATTTGCAATCATTTTTTTCGTCACCTATGTTTAAAGATCGATATTCCAATACCAATACAATTGAATTTTTGAAATATGCTCACCTTAAAGGTGAAAATTGCTATAAAAAGTGGGTTTATCAATATTAGGTTTTGCCCTTCAATGACGAACATGTATAAACACTGTATATTCAGTGTGTTACCTCCCGAGTGAAAGTTGGAAAAAATCACTCGGGTGGGACTCGAACCCACGACCTCCTGCTTTCTAGTGCAGGCATCTTATCACTCGACCACTGAGCTTACGGGATCGGTTGGCTGGTTCAAATCTGATGTACATAGCAGCGGGTACTAAATTTAACAAGTCGTAAGACGGAATTTTTAACACACTGAGTTTACAGTGTTCGTACGTCAGTGAAGGGCAAAACCTAATATTGATTTACTTCACCCCGATGCAAAAATTACATCTTATAAAAGGTGGGTTTCCTTCTTTTTGCACGACCCTGTATGATATTACCTCTTCGAGTCTCAACTGTTTAGCGTGTTCGCCGGTCATTTTTCCGGCTTGGTCCTCGGGGCCATCCAGTACCTCCCAATCGTAGGTGTAACCCTGGCCCTTTGGGGGATTCTCAGGGATGACGTACGCGATGAGAGTGACGTGGTCTTGGTCTGGGAGCTGGAGGGTTCTGTCTTCCCCGGCTGACACCGTCAACTTAATAACTGCATAAAGGACACATGTGAGGATTTTTAAAGACATGTCGGATCAAGTAAATAAAAGATACCTTTCAAAACAGCAATGACCACAACTTGTCTGTTCATGGTCTGTTGACCCAGTTTGACTAGTCACAGTGCTTGCTTGACATGTGATCTGACTGCCGGTGACTAGCCTTTGTTACAAGTATAGCAGGGGAAGTGGAAGTGAATTTTGACTGTATGTGGCTGTTTAAATGGGTTACACCAAGTAAGCTTTTGATTATAATTTGGTACCGGTGTAGCATGAATTTAGGTTTTATGAAATATGGACTCATTGGTGGTATTGCGCATGCTCATGCATAGATAATTAGGAGAGGGACCGGTCACGTGAGAGGGTTTAACCAATAAAAGGGAAAAAGAGTCCGATTTTCATACGAGTCTGATTTTCATGTGACACCGGTGGGTTTCTTTTGGGATAAATGTAAACAATCATATTATTTAGAGATACATGTTAACACAAGGTGGTTACGTAGAAAGAAGTTTAAGGTCAACTCTTTTTTTAGTAAAGTTTTATCTCACCTGATGGTGTTGGCAACGACGGCGTCTGTGTCTTACTATCTGTCACCAGGGTCTTCTCTGTCAGTTCGTCCAGCCCAGTGTTACTCTGTGTGCCGCCCTCTTCCGTCGGGGTGTCTGACAAGGGGGTGGGGGACATACTGTCGTCACCTTCAGGGTTTGTTTTGGTGTCATTTTCAGTCTCGGTTAGGTCTCCTGCGATGAAATTTGTACTAACAATTATTTACAACAAAAAGGTTTTGTTTCGAATTTTTTTTCAAAGTTTTCCTCTTTTTTTTTTTTACAATAAACCTTTTAAAATATATGTAGTAATTGAAAAACTTTTAAAATAATTCATTTCACAGGTATTAGATTATGAATTGTAAGCTTCATGCATTTATTGCTTTTCCATTTTTGTTTGTCAATGGCATAAATAAAATGTAATAAATTGCATGATATTCGATTCGTTCGATCAGTTCTTGTTTCTCAGATTTTTAGCTAGGAAATGTTGTGAAATGTGTAAATGAAAATGGAGAAAGCATATCCTGAGATTTCTGATGGGAGTTAGATATCATTAACTAAAACAAACAAAGGTTTTCTAAACAGATGTACATCTTGGTAAATTAACCATAGTCATAGCAGAATATTGCAAGCAGTATAAAATTAGAGAGTAAAAAAAAAAATTTGATTTTTTTTTCTTTAGAGCTTCAAACTCAAACAATTCTAATCAAATTTTTATTTTCCTGCAGACTTCATTTTTTTGTTTTCCATGACAAAATTAGTACTTATGACATCCCAAAAATAATAATGTGGCTCTTCTAGCAACATGCCCTTATAGCATGTATAGACTCTTTCCATGGCAGCCATATTAAAGGCAAGCTTTTGTTCCGCAGCGACACGCAAGAGTAGTCGTTTATTAACCCCGCAACCTCAATCCTGCAAAATCCTCCAACTGCCTCCAAGTAAAAATCGCATACAGCCTCAATCCTGCAAAATCCTATGTTATTTCTTGAATGTGGTCCTTGGAGGGGTGACCACTGCCTCAATCCTGCAAAATCCTCCAGCAATCACTGTCAATATGTTGAGGCGGAGCCAGTGACATCCTGGAGCAGTGCAGGGGATTTAATCTAGGCTTAAATTTATGCACGGCTGAGCATAAACAACATAAGGTCCGGCCCAAGACCTTGACACAGTAAGTAGTAAAGTCTGTTAGAGCCAATGTGGCCCATCAGGCCGGCGTTTATCTCCAGTTTCCGTAGCAAGAAACGACTGAGGATATTTCTATTCCCCCTGGATGGGATGCCAGTCCATCGCAGGTTACTCCCCAGCTAATGCCGGTACCATTTTATACTCCTGGGTGGAGAGAGGCAAGTTAAGATGAACTGGCTTGCCCAAGGACACAACATATGGCCAGCGGCTGGATTTGAACCCCTGACCCTCTGATCATGAGTCACGAACCCTAACCGCTATGCCACACACCCCCTTGACACAGTGCATCCTCCCAAATCAGCCACACTTTTTTGCAATGTAGCCTCAATCTTGCAAAATCTTCCAATTTGCAAAGAGGATTTTGGAGGATTTGGGAAGGTTAGGGTTACGCTCTGCCCCACTACGTTTTGACCAGTCACAGCCGCGACTACTGTCCGACGAAAATCTTAAACGCGTACAGTTGGAAAGGTACAATGTACACATGTTGTTACCCACACGTACATGTATGTGCAGTGGGCACTGAAGGTCTAATGGACTGGTCAATTATGTCCGTACGCAACAAGTGACAACGTTGAAAGAAGCCCTCCAAGATGGCTACCATGCAAAGCATCTATACCCAAATAAACACAACATCAGTCTAGTTCTGTGCTACAAATCCCAGTGCAACCAACTCAAAATACCTTTGTGCTCAAACCCGACGCCGTCATTCTTCTTGTGCGGCATATCAACCCCGTCACCAGGTTTCCAACCCCCCACCTCGGCCTCCTTAGCTCCGCCCCCACCATCATCCCCCTCGGTTTCATTCTCGGCCCCCGGGGTTATTTGCGTCACCGGAAGAGCAATGTCTGGTTTGTTATCAGGGAGTTCGGCTAGGGGGGTTTCGGGGAGTGTCTCTTGGGGTGTGTCTGGGGTTGCGTAGGTGGGGGCGGGGGCGTTTTCGGAGCCACCAGTTGGGAGCGGTTTATCGGGTGGACTGTCTGGGTGTTGCGTGATCAACTCCCCTGGGAGGAAATGAAATGAAATGTGATTGGTCGAAAGTTAGCCAATGTCGCGACAGCGATGTACAAACACTGAACATCCGTGTACCAAATTAAAACAACCCATTCAGCGACACCACAAACACAGAAAGCTTGAACATTTTAAACTCAACCAAAAATCATGCAAACATGCAGTGGGCAGCAAGTCATGCATTATTCATTCATAACTCATGCATAATTAACATCTCATGCATTATTTTTAGTTCATACATAATTCATAAGCCATGCAAACGACCAGGAAGGAAAGGGATCTCCACTTATTCCCTACATTTGTAAATGTCCTAAATAAATCCAACCTCCAACTAAAAAGTTAAACTGGGTTTTCATAGTTTATACATACATGTACATGTACAGGGTGGTCCGATAAAAAGTACACTCGTACAGATGCAGATTTCTCAAAATTGGGGAGACATGTTGTAACTGTTTTAAGATTACATTGTATTTCTTAACTACAAGACTTTGGTGGTATATAATGAAAACGGACTGGAAATAAAGCCTTACTTAAAAAATGGCGGCCGTTTACAGAAAAATTGCCAAAAAGCAGTTTGTCCCCACGCCAACAACAGCACATGTTGCTCAAAGAACTGCAGTAATTATAACAACAATGACCATAATTCATTTTTAAAATTATGTCATACACACGTGTGGACAAACTGGTTTTTTTAACCATTTTTCTGTAAACAGCTGTCATTTCTTAATTTAGGCTTTATTTTCAATGGACTTTTCACCATATACCAATAAGATGCTGTAGTTTAATACATACCTGTACATCTTAAAACAGTTTCAACATGTCTCTCCAATTTTGAGAAATCTTGGTCTGAAAAGTGTAAACTTTTGGGGGGACCACCTTGCACATACATGTAATGTACTCTTCTGATGTAAGTCTCTGACACCATCCCGGTCTGTTTGTTATTCTCTCTCTCTATCTATCTATCTACATGTAATTGTTCAATTTCTTTCATTACCTGTTCACACACTGCCATCCATTTTGCAAACTTTCTCCTACTTTTGACAACTAATTGGTCAAATTATTCATCAGCAGTGAAGGAATTTCACAGGAAAATCACTGTTATCAATCCAAACTACAAACTTTTTTCTTCAAAATCCCTGCATACCAAATGTTTGCATATTTTGTCAAGTACTGGAAGTCAATAGTGTAAATATTGTTTTGGCACATGGGAAATGGACAGATGGCACGTACACCATGTACACATGTAACAAGAACATGTACATTTGTGCATGCACAAACCATATTGACATGTACATATTTAGTACACAGGGTGAGTAAAAAATAAAACCAAATGTTGGGACCATTTTTTAATGAAGTTCTGCATGTAGCACTTTCAAAATCTTGGATATGAAAGCCCAATTAATAAGCTTTCTTTTAGTTCAAGAATCATTCAAATCAATCATGTAATTTTCAAGTTACGGACTTTTAAACACAACCACCGTTATAAAGTTTTGCCCACGGATCTCAAAAAGGTATCGTAGCTGTTCCTTCAGCAAATTGAAAACAAATCACATAGGGATGTGTGTGAATTGTTTTCATTTTGCCAAAAGAACACACACCTTTTTTTTTGAGATCCGTGGACAGAACTTTAAGACGGCAAGTGTCTAAAAATCTGTAACTTGATAAGTACATGAGTGATTTGAATGATTCTTGTACTAAAAGAAAGCTCATGAATTGGGCTTTCATATCCTAGATTTTTGAAAGTGCTACGTATGCAGAACTTCACTAAAACAATGGTTCCGACATTTGGGTTTCAGGTTTTTTTTACCAACCTGTACTGTACATGTCCCTATAGGTGCAAAATACATTGTATATTTATAAAGTGCTATTTCCTGTAAATTTATACGCTAAGGATTATGACTGATTATTCACATGACTCATGACCATATGGTTGTGTGTGCATGATGATAATTGATATGATGATATATTTACATGTAACAAATTGTTTGTGTGGATAAGAATGACATATTACATGTTGCGATGGGAAACATCACATATGGCTCATGGTCCTTAGAAAGTTCCGAAGCAAATATTTTGTTCAACACTTAGCAAATTTCTAAGCAAATTTCAGTATATGGTGCGATGGATTAATGGTGTGGCTGAGGCCAAAGGTCAAGGGGCTGCTAAGCAGAATAATACTGCCTAGCAATTAGATGCACTCAACAGAAATTGGCTGGGTGCCAGTCACCAGCAATATACATTGCTTGATGTTTCAGCGGTAACCTGTTTTTGTTAAGCGAATATTTTCTGTGTTAAGCAAGTTTCAGAAGGACGAATGGACGCTTGAAATCATATCCAAATAATCAAAAAGTTGTACCGTATCCTCGATGTACCATTTTTTAGGGTGTAAGGATTTATTTCAAGCAAGAGAAAAACACCAACATAGCCTTCAGTTTCCACATTTTTCGGGCTGGCGGTGGAACACGTACATGTACAGTACACACAACGAATCAACTGGTGGTGTGGTACGAATCTGCGCGTGTGCGTCGCTACAAAGAGAATAAAAACCTCAAAAAATAGAAAACAAGAACACGGACGATACATTTCAAACCCCCTCCCCCAACAAAAAAATATCATAAACATGATAAAAGACAACATATTATGGTTTGCCATTTTCGATACCATGCTGTGTCATTTTGCTGGTCCCAGAGTGCCAGCTTAGAATCCTCTTTGCAACTATCTCACTCACTGCCTGACTGACTGACACTAGTGCTAGTCAGCTGGGCAGTGCTATTGTATAGGATACCCCATAACGCCAATGAAGGGGCTAAATCCGGCCCATTGCGTAGACCAGATGCATGAAAGGATTTCCAGTGAATAGCCATTCTGAATCAACTCCGGCGTTTCGCAATGCAGTGCGCCACCAAGAGTTTGTCACGGAGAGTTCATTTTTCCCAGTGCATTGTGGGAGATGGTCAACAAATTCACAGCGCGGGACATTTGAAATTGTTAGTTTTTTTCCGGTCATTAGTTTTGGAAGTGTACGATTCGAGTATATGTTTGCCCTTTTCTTTTCTTTTTATCAATAGGGTGTTTTTTTGTAAGGCGGCAGAACGCTGTGCCCCAATCTATAACAAATTAGCTCAAGTTGTCTACTGACACTCATTCAAATGGGCCATGTTTTGTTGACCGTAAACTTGAAAAATGGACTCTCCGTGGCAAACTCTTGGTGGCGCACTGCATTGTGAATCGCCCGAATTGAATAGAATTTTGTGCACTCTGGGCCCAGATCTACTAGGACTGCCTTGTTTTGTTTGTTTCCAAAAAAAACCTGAAGAGTTCTAGTTTCTGAGCTAAAGTCTAAGGACACGTCACAGAATACACACAATCCACTTGATAGTCGCGATGACATGGCACACACGGTCAGGCTAAATGTACTTATGTACTGTACTCTGTACCGTCAACACACCACACATGCACACAATGGACAATCAGAAAAAGGTGACATCTGCACTGAATCACCGATAACAATTGTTCAAATTGTTTTTTAGGATCCTGGTTTGAATAATTCAGCCCAGTTGTCGCCACTGACAATGAAGCCATTTACTAAAAGTGTCCTCAACCAATTTGATCGCTTGCATTTCATTATTAAAACCTTGACTTCTAAAAATAGAATCTGAGTGATTTATTATTTTGAAATTTAATTTAAATTTGCAAAATTTTCCAAAGGTTGAATTTCATTTGTCAAATTAAACCCACCGAGTATTTCTAGCAAGAAAGCAGAAAATGTTATCTTTTTTTTCATCAATTTAAGGATGTACATGAAATATAATGGTTTCTGATGACAACTTTTTGAATTAATGTGGTCGTTTTTTTTGTAGCTTTTTGGGGGTTCTGTTGGGGTTTTACCGAGCGAAATACATCTGATCAATGGTTTTTCACAAAGCGACCCCTCAGTTTAAAGGTAATTGTACAACCTTTGCAAACATTAAAAAAACAAAACTTCCAAATTATTATGAAATACCTTACTTGACTGTATTGAATAATAGTCCCAAGCATCCTGTGAAATCATGGCACCTGTCGTGCAGTCTTTTCAGAAAAAGTGGAATTTTGGTATCGATTTCCAACGATGGTCGGCCACCATCACTGGATGGTGTTTATTACCTTTAAATCACGTTGGAAATGTTTGAACACTTAAAATCACTGGCTTCAAAGAACAAACTGGCACAACATCATACAAGCTTTAAGAAAGACCCCTTTAAAAAAGGTCATGCACACAGAAAAACAACTTTGAAATGTTTATCAATGTTGAAATAATGCAAACGCGTCCAATTATTTCCCTGTACATAAATCTATTCCGTTGGTTTTTTTTTTTTGGCTTGTACAAGTTTGGCCAATTGGAGTAAACAGCAACTAACAAACAACCTTCTTCTAAGTCATCTGGAACACACATGCCCATCGCTTCGGACTCGTGGAAGCCATTGTGGCACTTGCAAATCCCTGCTCCGTACTGCTGCAGCCCGAAGCAGTACCCGTACGGCTCGCATACCTTGTCGGACTCGCAGAAGCGAAACTCGTCCATTGAGGGCGCTATTCCACCCGACTCGCCGACACTGTCGTGCGTGCCAAAACTCTCACCAGCGTCATTATTAGGGGCATCGGGACCGCCGTCCGAAATATCCCCGTACGGATTTTCGGGATTGTAGGTTTGGCCGTGATCGTTACCACGGTCACCATGCTTATCGCTATCGTCAATACCAGGGTTCCCGGTGTCCCAGGGTTCTATGGGTGGTGGGGGAAGGAGTGGGAATAGAAGACGGGATGACATGCATGCAAAAAACAAAACAAAAATGAAACCAAAAAAATGGTTATGCCCGTGGAACTGTGGCAACAATTTGCATTTGTGAGCTGTGCAAAGCTGTTATTTATTAGTTAGGCAAAAATCATGCAATATTTCGGTGCGGTTAAATATGAGGAATTGAAATCTACGAAATATACGTTTATGACGCATTATTAATGTGGATTTTTTTTAAATACCAAATTTCACTATGTCTCAAGAGTATGTAAAACATTGTCAACAAAAGTTTTAAAATTCGATGTGAAATTATTCAGTTATTTTTACAAAATGTTAAGCTTTAAATTTTAATTATGATTTCAACTCCTCGCATTTAACATTGCCACCTCAAATTCACCAAATCAAATTTTAGTAATTAAATTCTGCAGTTTCATGAACATGTACGTATCAGACACAGTGTTATGATCATGAATAAATGTCTGTTATTTGCATCTGAAAGAAAATGCGGCATGCACGGAGATCAAACCGCCCATTTCACTTACGCTTCAGTCTCGGAAAGACTGGCTGTTTCTCTGGAAGAAAACTGAACTGATTGCCGCTGTGAACTAAATGGGAATTAGTACGGAAAAAAAGTATTACTTACATACATGTACGTTCTGATGTATTAAACAACCCTTACCCTCCAAAATCTGCCAAGATCCAATTGATAGAAGTTGATAGAAGTTGAAAGTTTCTTAAGGATTCGGGACTATATTTTTTACAAATGGTTTGCAGCCTTGCCATGTACAAGTGTATGCATACATGTACATGCTACTGGATATGTGCATGTATAATGGATTTAATGACCCTAACCCTCCAAAATCTGCCCAGATTCAACCCGTTGATTTAATCAAATTTGATAGATTGTGATTTAATAGAATTTGGTAGATTTTGAAGGATTTGGATCTCTACTCATACAATGTACAGCTTTGTCAAGTACATACATGTACATGTATGTACCGTATGCATTTATACAAGCTTTTCTGTAGTTTATTCGGGGTCTGCTCATAAGTCCGACGCCTCATAGGTCTGACGCCTGATAACTCTGCAATTTCGGACTTACATGTATGAGGTGTCGGACTTATAAGGCATCACATTTATTTATTCCGCCTCATAGGTCTGACCCCTCATACATTTTATTTTTTGTAAGTCCGATGCCTCATAGGTCCGACGCCTCAAACATGTAAGTCCGAAACAGCGTTTGTCCATTGTCGGACTTATGAGGCGTTGGACTTGTGAGGCGTCGGACCTATGAGGCGGATTTATGTCTCATAAGTCCGACGCCTCATAAGTCCGAAATTTCGGACTTACATTGTTTGAGGCGTCGATCGGACCTATGAGGCGTCGGGCAAGTTATACGGCACCGTTTATTCATAACACGTATTCTACTGGTATACTGTACATTAGTTTACAGGGTGCTGTACATGTACATGTACAATGGTGTGTGTCCTGATTTTGTTAAATGTACGGTACAAAAATGCACAAATGGAATTTGGACAGATTCAGAAAATGACTGAGTAAAAAAAAATTAAGGATTTATTGGACAAATGTACATAGCATCTTGTTTTACTTAAATTCCAAGTTCATATTAAATTAATTAAAAATTGATTCTCAAGATATTGATTTTGATTACAATGGAAGGGCCAAACCCCATCCATCACAGAAATGAGATTAAGAAAGACAAGTTTTCTCTCCAAAAGTGATTGATGGCTAAATTGATTTTCACAATATGGGAATTAGACGAGAACAAATATGGTACTGTTGTACCATAAACTAAACTAAAAATTGGATGCGCAACGGCACCGAAGTACAGAACATACTACACGTACTCATTGTATACAATGATGTACATATACATGTACATGTATGTGTCATACATGTATGTATTGTATACATGAAGACGCATTTGTGACCTGTTCTGTCAAAATCAGACTTTTCTGGGCATAAGGTCAAAATGAGATTTTTGCACATTGTTAAAATATGTTCTGTTTCCTTTTAATAGGTGGTTTAATTTTTGAAACCGGTCATTCCTGCGCAAAGTTATGCTACTTTGAAGTTCATTGTGTCGAAAAGTAGAAAACGGAGAAAATGGACACGAACGTCACAAACCAGACATTTCTTTAACTGATATACGGTACCTTAACAAATCATCAAAAATACTATAATTAGAGATCAAAGTAGGGTTTCAAACTTTTATAGTATATTTTAGACATGCTCAGGATTACAAATATGCAAAAATTAGAAAATGGAAAAAAAATCACCTCCACAGCGTTTTTTGGCCCCATCTCAATTTCAACCTCTGCCCAGAAGCGTCTGCTTTTGACAGAACATGTCACATTTTTAAGACGTTTTTCTAACATTCTAAGTAAAACCTCTTACTTTTAGTAATTTTTTTTCAAAGAATTTCAAACATTTTCCCCAAAAATTTACATGTACCGTACATGTACATGTACATGTACTTCTGCATGGTTATGTTTACCTCTGCACGGTGCCACCACCCAAAAATTATCCATTGGGAAATTGCACATGGCCCCCATGTTTTTTTTATCAAATTTGCTTGAAGATAATTTGTTATTCAACATAAGTGCTCACATTACAATGAAAATTTTGTGCATTTGGTTAACAAAGTTTATTTGACAATAAATATGTTAATCTTGTAATGTTTATCGACATAAAAAAATAGTGCATAATTAGTTTCCCCTACAACACTTTGCATTTTCTTGTTCTGCTTGCAATGATAAATTGCAATATCGCCTACTTTAAAAAATAGACATTTCACATTTGATAAAACTCAACATTTATTCTGGCAACTTGCTGTGTCATCAGGACAGATACAATTTCACGTATGTAGGCTCCTCAAATTTCATAGAACTGCCCATCCGAGCATTTATTGCAATTTCCGAAAGCAATTATATCTGGGGAATTGGATTACTGGTAGATGAAACATCTGTCCAGCCAAAAAAATTAAAATGACCTAAAAAATTTGAAACGTTGATGCTCCATCGCTGTCTGAAAAATGGCTCAATCTACAGCTGTCCTGATTATACCTAATATTCGAATATTCAATCGGGAACCAAATACTCAAATCGCTATTTGCCGATTTGAATATTTGAGAAGAAAAACACAACAACAGAAAAACTACACACGACTGTGATGTTATTGTAATCGTAAAGTTGTGGCGCTTTATTGTTGTTACTTTTTTGTCGACGGTGGTTCGTTGCTCCAATCCTTTTAGCAGGTTAAAACCCTTGACACTTAAAGAGGTTGTGGAATGCTCGAAGACATTTCCGTCATTTTTGGGGTATATGTAGCCTAAGGTGTGATGAAATAAAAACGACTATTGTTTCTGTCATAAAATGAGTACAAAGGGTACTTTTGAGAGCTATTTTTCAGGTCCTGTTTCGACCCGAACGTGCAATTTGTGTAAACGTCGTCGTTGCGGGCAGCAAACAAAACACAGTAAATCGTGACGTAATAAACAGGACTCGTTTATGCTACTCTGCATCGGGAGTCCTGTTTATTACGTCACGATTTACTGTGTTTTGTTTGCGGCCCGCAACGACGACTTTTACACAAATTGCACATTCGGGTCGAAACAGGCATGACAGGACTTAAAAATCAGCTCTCAAAAGTACCTTTTGTACTAATTTTATGACAGAAACAATAGTCGTTTTTATTTCATCACACCTTAGGCTACATATACCCGAAAAATGACGGAAATGTCTTCGAGCATTCCACAACCTCTTTAAAAAATACCTACATGTACATGTAGGCCTACTGTAGTAAAAAACTCAAGCCGTCCATAATATCGATTGCTGCATGAATATTTTCACTGGCCCACTTTACGTGCAACTTTTGACAAATATTACAAGATTTAACCTGCAACATGGTTCAAAGCTCAATCCATGACAAATATTACAAGATTTAAGCTGCAACATGCTTCAAAGCTCAAGCCATATTTCCTTCTCACCTCTTTGGTCATCTTCGCAGTGATTCGTCACAAAATTCCTGGTCTTCCATTCATCGCACTGACATTGGTGCGAAGGCTGGTCGCAATGCTCACCCACCGGGCACGTGTCCCACTTATCATATGGGTTACAAGATACACCGGAATCTAAAAAAAAGAGAAAGATTTAGGGAATTTTATACTAATTTTATTCCTGAATTTCGCAAAACCCCTCAACTTTAAAACCCTAACCGCCCTGAATCCTCCAAAATCCTTTTTGCAAATTGGAGGAATTTGCAGGATTAAGGTTACATGGTAAATGTGCGTTGCTGATTTCAGAGGACGCACTGTGTCAAGGTCTTGGGCTGGACCTTGTGTTGTTTATGCTCAGCCGTGCATAAATTTAGTCCTTGATTGTACTTGAAATCTTCCGCACTGCTCCAGGATGTCCCTGCCTCTGCCTCAACCCATTGAGAGTCATAGCCGGAGGATTTTGCAGGATTCAGGTAGTGGTCACCTCTCCACGAACCATATTCAAGAAATAATGGAGGAATTTGCAGGATTGAGGCTATATGCTACCGTATCTTTGCATGAGGCCTAATTGGAGGATTTTTCAGGATTGAGGCTACATCCTAGCAAAAAGGCCTAGGGAGTTAGGGTTAAGAGAACATCTTAAAGGGAATATACATCATTTGCTTTTGCTGTAATTTTCAGAAATGGATGGAATTGGGGGGTTGGAAATATAAAGCAAATATAGTTACACTGACTTTTTGGAGGTTTTGGGTTCGAAAATGCTATAAAAACCAAGAAAAACGATCATTTTCCTGTAGTCTGGTTCCCTGACTCCATAAAAGAAGAAACAGAGCAGTTAACATACATTAGGGAATTGTAAGGTCAGGGAACCAGTCTAGCTGGCTCGTACCCGTTCATAGGTTTGTAATCGATTGCAAACAAGTGCAATGGTCAATTGGGGCCAGTATTTGAAAAAAAGCCAGTTGTTTCCAACGCTGATCGGCCGATCAGCGTTGGAAATTGATACAAAAATACCACTTTTCTTGAAAATGACAGTATACCAGGTGCCATAATTTTACAGGATGCTTTAGACTGTCATTTACCAACATCCTATTAAGGTATTTCGCAAAAACTTGGTAGTTTTATTTTTCGATGTTTGCAAATGTTGTATATTCCCTTTAAAAGCTTGAATGCTCTTGTGCTGTCGGGAATGCTCCTTTTAGGAACACTGTGTGTTTCCAACGGGAATGCACTGTGTTCCCAGCTTGTTGCCAACTATAATAGGCCGTCCCGAGTAAGCGTGCACGCGCGCATAAACCAACGTTCCCACGCGGGAACAGCGCGTTCCCGGGCTGTTCCCAGTGGGAACAACGCTTGTTCCCAATTGGAACAGGCGATGTTCCCTGTTGTAAAGTTCCACGCGTTCCAACTTATGTGACGTTCCCATGCCTGTACATTTGTACAATGCACTTTTTAAGAACCCTTGCCATATTATGTTTTTTTTTAAATGGATCACCAAATAATAGAGTTTGTCTGTAAAGAGATGTATACACATGTCAAATGATTCAATTCTGCCAGCTTACTTGCTTGAATGTGTTCAGTACACCTCAAAATAGCACAATACAGGGTGGCCCAAAAAATATGTATGTAACCGAAAATACTTCCAATATTCAGGGACCTATTAAGTGATTGATAATATGGATAGGAAATTTTGTTCGAAGGAAAACAATCAAGGCTTTTTTTCAAATACTGGCCCCAATTGACCATCGCACTTGTTTGCAATCGATTACACACCTATGAACGGGTACAAGCCAGCTAGACTGGTTCCCTGACCTTACAATTCCCCAATATATGTAAACTGCTCTGTTTCTTCTTAAATGGAGTCAGGGATCCAGACTACAGGAAAATGATTGTTTTTCTTGGTTTTTATAGCATTTTTGAACCCAAAACCTCAAAAAAGTCAGTGTAACTATATTTGCTATATATACATGTATTTCCAACCCCCCAATTCCATCCATTTCTGAAAATTACAGCAAAAGCAAATGGTGTACAATGTATATTCCTTTAAGTCAGGATTATCTTACTTAGCCCCAGACTTTGGTTCACAAAAATAGCGCTGGAATCAAAACTACTGAACCAAATCGGGAGTTCTTGGTATTGTCTTCCTTCAAACAAAATTTCCTAGCCATGCACATGGTTTAGGTCCCTGGATATTGGAAGTATGAGGTGCATTGTTGTTGTTTTTTGACCAGCCTGTATAGCATTACTGTACAGTGGTGTGAAAAGTTCCAGTTTAACATGCCTCAGTAGAGAATAATACATTAATAGGATAGAGGAGTTTCTGTCTGTACATGAACATTGTACACCATCATGCACATATTGCAGTACTTACAAACATTGCACTATGCACATTTGCAGCACTGTACAACTATAAGAAGCTGCCTCCGAATTGTTACCGTAACTCAAGGCCGGCTTGGATTTAAAAAGATTTTGGAGAAAAAAATCCACACAAGTTTTTTAGATTGGAACAAACATACATGTAATGCACATGTAAGAATCTTGTCTAGACTTATAGTTAGGTCTTTTGGCTTAGTCATATCAGTTTTAATTTTATTGATATACCCGTACATCATGTAGTGATGTACCGGTCGGTACATGTACATGTACATGTTCAGTGTAGCCAAAATTAATGTTTGTTGATCTTCAAGCTACATGTAACTTGAATCCTAGTTCCTGATTGGTCGATCTGAGGCAACAACAGTGTAGTATATATGCTCGCGCTACTCCTATATCAGGCACGTGTAAAAAGGATTTACAGTCGAACACCTTTACATGTATAACAAGGTCCTTGGAACTTTACAAATTACCTTGTTATAACAGGTACATGATGTACCTTGTATTAACAGTATTGGAAAACAAAGGAAAACAAAGGAAAACAAAGGAAAACAAAGAAAAACAAAGACTTGGGACCTGAAATCTTGCTTGTTATAAGCATGATGTTGTATAACTTACAGTGCTCTTCTTATCAGGGTTCGACTGTATATTGTTCAAAAGTTTGTGTACAATGTACCGGTACAGCGTGCGACCCCCCCCCCCCCCCTGCATGTTCTATCTTTTCAAGTTTTCTCGAAATTAAATTTGTTATCCCACTCGCGCTCGTGGAACAATGTATTGCGTTTGTATTATAACTGTAGGAAACAGGCAAACTATATTATTACGTGTTCAACTCGCGCCAACTACACGTTATATACATGTATACATTGTACCTGTACCGGTTCTTGTACTACACACATAGATAGATAGATAGATAGATAGATAGATAAACTTTATTAAAATCCAAAACTGGAAATTACATGTTGTCATCTCTCATTAAAAATATAAAAAATTCAAAATACGCTACAATATTTAGGAAATAAATACACAATCACATCAAAACATTACAATTGCACACAGTATAAAGTCACTAATAATTTTAGAGCGTAAAAAAGCACAAGTGAAATTAATGCATGTGTATATATCATTAACGTACCGTACATGTACGTTATGTTGGTTGCAATTCTGGTGAACAAAGCATTCATTATCATACAAAGTGTCTATTTTCCAATTTCAAATGCTACGTTTCCACAATTTAACAAATTGTACATTCATGTACAAGGTTCTATACATGTACATGTGTACATGCTTGCTTGCAAGGCACATCTGAACAGTCACTGTTCAGACCGAAGTAACGATACGTACAAATCCAGCACATTACAATATCTGTTATTTGTATACACCCCCCCCCCCATGACCTTGCCCAGTTTATTCAGTGAACTTTAGCAGTTCTAACGAAAAAAAAACCAATCGATCACGTCATGATTTTTTAGTTTTCACTGATTTCTGTTGACGGTATTTCACGCAAGCACACAGCTCCTGCGAGCCGATTATTGATTCCTGATAATATTAATAGTCTGGTATTAATTAGTCTGGCCGACAGGTGCAAATTATTACATGATGTGTACATGACACATGTACCGGTATGCCTTAGTTCACGCTGTAGAATTTACAATAGTATAATGAATGGTATTTTATTATGGCACCTGGATAATGTGGTGTGCATACATTAAAGAGGTTGTGGAATGCTTGAGGACATTTCCGTCATTTTTCGGGTATATGTAGCCTAAGGTGTGATGAAATAAAAACGACTATTGTTTCTGTCATAAAATGAGTACAAAAGGTACCTTTGAGAGCTGTTTTTCAAGTCCTGTCATGCCTGTTTCGACCCGAACGTGCAATTTGTGTAAAAGTCGTCGTTGCGGGCAGCAAACAAAACACAGTAAATCGTGACGTAATAAACAGGACTCCCGATGCAGAGTAGCATAAACGAGTCCTGTTTATTACGTCACGATTTACTGTGTTTTGTTTGCTGCCCGCAACGACGACTTTTACACAAATTGCACGTTCGGGTCGAAACAGGATCTGCAAAACAGCTCTCAAAAGTACCCTTTGTACTCATTTCATGACAGAAACAATGGTCGTTTTTATTTCATCACACCTTAGGCTACATATACCCAAAAAAATGACGGAAATGTCTTCGAGCATTCCACAACCTCTTTAATTAAATGTGTCTAAATGCACCCTGCAACTTGTGCAATGTAATTGTATGCGTACATGTACATTGTACATCTGTCTAGTTCCTTCCCCCACCCCACCCCTCCCATCTCACCACCATACATGTAGGTTCCCCAAGGTTTTAAATGTACGTCACAATTTGGTCGCATTTTCTTATCCAAAGAGTTTGGATTAATTCACATAAATAGATACCGGTACATTGTACATGTATACGGTGCATTTGTGAATGTGACGGGACAGCAAGCTGTCTGGGCATAATGTCTGGTCCCTTGACTATTGCAAATGCTATTAGCGTGCTAGGGCAACAGGTTATGTGTCTTAATTCACATTTTCTTGGCATTGAATGTTCAGGGACTCAAACACTGTCAACATTTTCTGTACATACAACATGTACCGTAGGTACATGTAGTATGTGTACGGTACCTATGGTGGATTATTGGATTTAAGCGATGGTGGGGTTATTTGTTCCCCTAGGGTGGGGATAGGCTGTGACAATCCCCACCGGTCAATGTTGGGATGCCCGGAGAAGGGATGCATCATGTAATCGCATAAAAGTTTGTGCAAATCCGTTTTTTTTATACACTTTTTCAAAGCATTTTATAAAAACACTGCCCCCTCCCTACACAAAAAATATGCAAAATGTACCAATACGGTAATTGTAACATCAAATTAAACAATCGCTTGCAAAGTTATACACCATAAAATTTTTGTTGTTTTAAACCAAATATTTATAGGCCAAAAAAAAAAACGCATTTAAATTAGTCCATACAGAAAGTGGACTTTATTTGCGCCACAAGAATTTCCGCACATATGTATAGAATTTTGGGCTACATTGTATATAACAGATTTCCACATGTTTGCCATATGGAACTGGGTTTGTTAGACCGTGACTCACTATAGAGTTTATTTGTCATCGTTTATTTTATCTGGAATACCTTTCACTTTCAAATTATGCATATTTTTGGACCAGATGTGTTGGGAATTAAATAAATTACTGGAATTTCGCAGGTCAAATAAAAGTTGAAGGCCAAAAGTTGTGAATGACTAGTGGGATATTAAATTAATATCAAATATTGTGATCTGAAATGCATACTTTTTGTGCATGCAATGTTTCTTTGAAAAAGTTGACAATTTAATTGCTCAAATTTAATTTGGGGGAGTGCAGCCTTGTGACTAAGGTTCGTGACTTATGATCAGAGGGTCAGGGGTTCAAATCCAGCTGCTGGCCACATGTTGTGTCCTTGGGCAAGCCACTTCACCCCTTTTGCCTCTCTCCACCCAGGAGTATAAATGGGTACCGGTGTCACATGAAAATCCGACTCCTATGAAAATCGGACCCCTATTTCCCTATTATTGGTTGATCCCTCGCACGTGACAGATCACTCTCCCGAAACGATCCTAAAAATAGCATAGTATCGTACTCACGTGTGCGCAGTACTACCAATGAGTCCACATTTCATGGAGTCGGATATTCACGCTACACCAGCACTAGCTGGGGAGTAACCTGTGTTGGACTAGCATCCCATCCAGGGGGAATAGAAATATCCTCAGTCGTTTCATGCTACTGAAACCGGAGACAAACCGGCCTGATAGACCACATTGGCTCGTGACAGACTTTACTTACTCAATTTACTGAAACTAAAAAGTGCCCTCCTGTTTTGTCCGCCAAATCTTAAAACGGCTAATAAATTAGTAATAAAATTAGCTGTAAAACAAACTCCCGAAACCCACATTTTTACCTTCTTCATAAGTTTGAGTTGATCTATCCATAACGTACACGATACTGGACACACTGGCATCTTTGAACGGTATGCAGTCGTTCTCTGAGTGGCACCTTCCGTGGAAACAGTTCTGGTCCACGATCCACGCCAAGTCACAGTTCTTCTTCATGCAGCAGGTCTCGGCGCAGCCTGTGGCCGACGTGGCGTGCTGTAGCTTGAGCTGGTCGTCTGGAACAGTAGGGAGATATCCGACGAAGGGTTCGCCTGTCGTGCAGGCTGCATCAACAAGGCCTGTGAATGAAAACAAAAAGAACAAGAGTGAGTGCACAATAAGCTCTGGCTGTGTTAGACTCAAGCGAGGCTGACGTTGCATAAAAGTCTTGCATAAAATCGATACAAATTATCTCTACCTACATGTAGCTGCTTAAGCACAAAATTTGCGTAAGCACAAAAACGTCTTGCTTAATAAAATCAGGTTACCGGCCAAAACTCCATGCGATTGTTATGCTAAGTAAACAACAGCTACATGTAAATACCAGTCACAAGCAATGTACATCACATGGAGTTTTGGCCGGTAACCTTATTTTACTAAGCAATGTTTTTTCGTGCTTAAGCAAATTTTCTGCTTAAGCAGCTCTATGAAATTGGGCCCTGGAGCTTAAAAATGTGATGCCCAAAAGTGCAGTGCCGATGGCACATATGGAACACCATACTTTTGGTCAATTTTATGGACAGACAGACAGACAGGCCACCAAGTGACAGGTAAAAGCTCCAGTCAGAGCTTAAAAACAAGACAAGACAAGCCTAGTAAAGACACAAAATTCTTCTCAATTGATTTCAGAATACTCACAATTTTTTACCAATTAGTCTGATAGTACATGTTTGTAAAAGTACCACTTCACGTGACCTCAAATGTCATCTACATATGGGCAATTCCACGGTTACTCACGTTACCTTTTTGATGTACTTTTGAGTTTCCTTGGGCTGTAATTACCTTACTGAAAAGGTTTGATAACTGTTATCCCCATGGTAGATAGAATAGACCTAGGCCTACCTAAGCACCAAAGATGACATCCAGAAAAATCGGTTACACACGTTATGAAAATGTAACGTGAGTAACCGATTTTATATACTCTTTTATATCAACTGGCTCCTTTTGACAATCCAAATGTAAACATACCCGGTACGTACTACCGGTCTGTCATTTGTACTTGTATGTATTATACATTAAAATCTTCAAATGTTTTGGAGGGTTCGCTCATGCAATTACTATTATCAGTATTACCAAATTTGAATGGTTTCTGAAGTGTTTAAGACAAGGGAGGTTAATTTGTTTATGTGGATTGAATATATCAATTTTAATATCCACACTTAATCCATTACAAGTTGCAGAAAAATACATGGATTAGCATGCAGTTTATTTGCTGGTACATGTACATGCAATGTACGGTACCACTGTGCAGTAGTAGGCAATTTTAAATTTGTGCTCTATGGTACTGGCAGGGACTGGTGCGTACATACAGATTCATGTAATAATAAATAATAATAATATCGGAATCTTATATAGCGCACGTATCTACCAACTATTAGGTACTCAAGGCGCTGGAGATATGTCTATTATTAAAGAAAGGTAAATAAAGTTTATGAGAAATATGAGACCCATTATGTAGCACCTTCTAAGGGTTTACAAGGTGCTGCGGCGCATAATGCAACCACTGCCAGAAACACCGGGGCAAACCCCTTCTTAGCGATAAGTGTTACTGGGTTCTTTAACGTGCATTACACAACACACGGGGCCTACGGCTTTACGGCCCATCCGAAGGACGAAGCAATAATGGTGAAGTGCCTTGCTCAAGAGCACAAGCACCATGTTCCGGTACACGCATGTACGTAAACACATCTGTCTGGCATCATATGTACCGGTAAAATACAAGTTTGAAGAGTGTTTCTACTTTTTTTTTCTGTACGAATAATAATTAATAATAACTGTGCTTATATAGCGCTTTCCATCTTATCAACAATCTCAAAGCACTTTACAATTATTACCCCATTCATCAGGCCATGGGACCACGCGGCAGCCGATATCAGCGCTCAATCGGTCCTCTACCCTCACAGGTACCCATTCATACTCCTGGGTGGAGAGAGGCAATTGTAGTTAAGTGTCTTGCCCAAGGGCACAAACACCATATTCCTGGCCGGGTTCGAACCCACGCACCTTTCGTACATGAGTCAAACGCCGTAACCACTGGACCATATGGCATTCTACACATTTTGTTTGAACCAAACAATACAAGCCCAGTAAAGCTGGTCCCAAAGCTCACAGAATGCTACGCAATTGTTTCGAAATGGCTACTCACTGGAAGTGTCATTCTGCCCCTGGGATTATCTGCCACAGAAGTCGTTTTACAGATATTTCAATTGTGGCAGATAATCAGAATGAGGCAGAATGGCATGGAAACAAAGCAAGCAAGCGAGAGACAATTAAGCATGCAGGGTGGAAAGAACAACACAAGAAGGTATAGAAGGAATTCCCAGTAGGCGAACAAAGGAAGCAGAGAACAAGGGGGAGGGTAGGGGTGTGTTAACAGGGGGTAAGGCAAGGGGAGAATTAGGAACAAAGGAGCGTGGCAGTGGGTAAAGATCAAACGTCATGATCAATGTTCTTCATCATCACGATGTATAGTTCAATGGCAACTTTTCATATCCTTTCAAATGAAAGCCTTTGTAATGTGCAGCAGACATGGTAGACCATTGTACACAAACTCTGTAGAATTTAGTAACACGTGTACATGTGTGTAACCCGTAGCTGAAACCTGTAACAGCCCAAACTTCTCAGAAATCCATAACCTTGGTGTTTTGCATTAAATTTTAAGAATTTGATGAAGGGCCAAGAAATAACATGATGCTTGATGAACTAAGTAGGCCTATACTGTGCAAATATGCTTGCAGGTACAATGTACAGTTAACTGGCATGTACATGTACATGTATCATTGCCTAAGTTTATGTTGTTTTATATGTCTTTGATAATTTCATCAATTGGTCTCAAGTCAAAAGGCCACGTGAAACATAACAGTTTACTTCATACATGGTTGCACTGCATTGCAAACCTCATACATCTACACTCTGTTGCATTCAAATTGAAAGCGACTTAATTTATTTCTTGCATAATAAGTTACATATAAGCCTTATAAATCTTTGTGACTTATTGTCCTGAATCGCATTGGGTGCTACATGTATGTATACATTTGTGTACATGTCCACATACAATGTACATTGTACATGTATGCGCCCATGCAGTCAACAATTGTTGACAATTGTACATTTTTGTACATGTACCATAATGCACAATGTTGGATTTTGAAGGAGTTTGAAGGATTCAGGTGGTTTCCTTGCAATTACCGGTATGCAAATACTTCGGTTCCTTCATTTATGCACATACATGTATACAGGTACAATGAACATGAACATGTACATGTATACATGCACATCTATCTTAGATCTACCGGTACATGGACTATAATGTACATGTTGTACATGTACCGGTACATGTACTGTCTGGCACATGTACTGTACATGTATGCCAGGTCAACTAAAATCCTGCAACATAGGTCATATTCCATTTTCGGCATCTACAGTTAATCATTGAGTTTATCCAGTAAGAGCCAGGCAGACAGATTAAGCATTAACCATTGATGGCCCTACAATGAACAGTTGGAGTGACATGCTGACAAGTGAATAAAGTGTTTCCAAAAGCTTCATGGTTGAAATGATGGCAGGCCCAGTGATATCCCAGTACACTATCGTCTCTCCTAATCCATGTTGAAATCAACGCGGCTGCACAGTAAGCGGAACCAGGGCCCAGTTTCACGGCGCTGCGCAGCACAAAAATTTGCTTAGCACAAAAAAGTCTGGCTTATAAAAGCAGGTTACCAGCCAAAACTCAATGTGATTTTCATGCTAAGCAAACAACAGCTGAATACTAATCACAAGCAATATACATCACATGGAGTTTTGGCTGGTAACCTGCTTTTATATTAAGCCAGACTTTTTTGTGCTAAGCAAATTTTTGTGCTTAGCAGTGCCGTGAAATTGGCCCCTGGCAGGTCTAGAACATGGGTCAGTAAGATTCTTTAGCTTTTTGAAAAAATCTTCCCTGAGTTCCCAACTGTGCAAAACAGAATAACACATTTATTTGGATTTAAGATTTCCGAGGGTCATCAAACCCCATGTGAAGTAATAGTGGCTGGGCTCTACCTTCCTCAATGCTACAAAATCCTCCACTGGGCATGAAACCTACCAAGTTTCAAAGGGAATCAAGCCCCATGTACCTTCCTCAATCCTCAAAAATCCTCCCAAAAAAAACCGCATGGATTTTAAATGATGTAGGCGGGTCAGGGTTACTGGAAAACCTTGATTGATTGATTGACAAAATACCAGCAAAAAACTTACTGGTACTCACTGTTCGTTGTACATGTACATGTAGTGTGTCTGCTGTATTTTTCAACCAGCAACAAATTTTTCAGGTGAGATCTATCAAATTTAGTGCCGACTGCCGGTCCTTCAATGCAGGAAAATCAGTGTTGCATACAATGTACATGTATATATCCTCTGCAGGACATGAACTCTTACAGACCAAGCATCGGTACATATACATGTACATGTATGTATGTAGCCTTTTTTTTAACTGACATGATTGAAATAAATTGTTCAATTTGGTGGCTTTCTTTGAAATGTTAACACTCCTATGCAAACATACATTCTGTGCCAACTTGTCCTTTCAGTCAAACTCAATCAATGGCTACTATATTTTGCCGTTTTCGAAAAAATAATCCCATCCCAAAGTGCTTAAAGGGAATGTACATGTACATCATTGGCGTTTGCTGTAATTTTCAGAAATGAACTTTTTGAGGTGTTAGCATTTTAGATGAAATATTGTTAAACTGACGTGTCTGAAGTTTTGTGTTCGAAAACGCTGGAAAAACCAAGAAAAACAAAAATGTTCAAATAGTCTGGTTCCCTGACTCCACTAAAGATGAAATGGATCAATTTACAGATGCCGGAAAATTGTAAGGTAAGGGAACCAGTCTAGCTGGCCTGCCTGCACCCGTTCATGAACATGTAACCAATAGCAAACAAAATTTGGACTGAAAAAAAGGTACATTTGGAGCAGTAGTTGAAAAATAGTTAGGTTTTCCAACGGTGGTCGGCCGACCACTGTTGGAAATTTACACAAAAATACCACTTTTCTTGAAAATGACTTCACACCAGGTGCCATAATTTTACAGGATGCTTTAGACTGTCATTTACCAACATCCTAGTAAGGTATTTCGTACAAACTTGGTAGTTTTGTTTTTCGATGTTTGCAAATGTTGTATATTCCCTTTAAAAGTTTCCTGAGTAAAGTACAACTGTAGGTAACCTTCATTTGAACACAAAATTGTGCAGGATTGAGAACGGTTCCTAGCAAAAAGGGCCTAGGGGTTAGGGTTAAGGCAGTAGAGTCCCGCGGCTGTTACTTTTACAGAGGGAAACATGGGGGATTCAGGTTTAAGCCCTTGGCAACAAAATGCTTTCAAACGTACATGTAGTTAGGGTCAACCATAAGCTTTATCGCAAATACCGCTTGGGTGAATTTTCACTGTGGATAATAAGTATTGTGGGAAGAGAAAAGGCACAGATATTGCCTCGTTTTTCTTCCCACAGTACAGATCTTTGTAGCTATACATATATGCGATAAGGTCGGATTATTATGGAATATAGCCGTTGGGCGCGATCGGCGAACCTGTGGTGACTGCTCTATGTTCCAACACCCCTATGTCCCGACAACCCGCACATAAGATTGTGTAACTCCCGGTTAGGGTTAGGGTTAGGGATAGGAATATGTGCAGTCGGAACATAGGGGTGTTGGAACATAGGTGTGTAACCGAACCTGCGCGATCAGTCGATCATGAAGCCATCGGTCGAATGTGCCGCCATCAGTCGATCATCTTTTCTTTCTAATTCACGGCTCTGGACGAGTGTTTTGAAAAAAGGGAAGTAAAGTCTGATATTTCCTGCAGGATCGACCAAACACGTGAATGCATTTTTGCCCAATCGAATGATAGCACACATCTAGTCTGAAAATTTAGGATTCTCCATACTGTGTATAGAGTCCCAAAACTTAAGGTACTGAAAACATGCAATACAAGAAAATCGACTGACACCTGAAACAACCAGTCCAACAACTCTTCAGTACTGCATCAATCTACTGTCAGCTGACTGTGCCAAAAGAAATATCGAGGATGTCGGGTACTAGCTCACTATTTCTACACATTTCTCCATGGTCAGGCACCAGACTAATGACAATGAATGAAGAAGTCAGTCTTGACAAACCGTTGGACCATGGATGGACATGTACAAGTCTAGTCTTTAACCTCATTTTGAAATCACTTGACTTCCCTCTCATGTGCGAAATATTGAAGAAAGTCTTCTTTAGAAATTGAATTAGAGTCTTCAAACTACATTGTAAGTTGGTGAATTATTTGGTGACCTTTATTTTGCCCAATGAAAGTTTTGGAGAAATTTGCTGGCTAAAGATTAAGTAAAGTTGGCATCTTATTTTGAATCATTTTGAGCACTTAACGCTTAAAGAGAATATACATCATTTGCTTTTGCTGTAATTTTCAGAAATGGATGGAATTGGGGGTTGGAAATATATAGCAAATATAGTAACACTGACTTTTTTGAGGTTTTGGGTTCAAAAATGCTATAAAAACCAAGAAAAACAATCATTTTCCTGTAGGCTGGTTCCCTGACTCCATATAAGAAGAAACAGAGCAGTTTACATACATTGGGGAATTGTAAGGTCAGGGAACCAGTCTAGCAGGCTCGTACCCGTTCATAGGTTTGTAATCGATTGCAAACAAGTGTGATGGTCAATTGGGGCCAGTATTTGAAAAAAAAAAAGTTTTTTTCCAACGCTGATCGGCCGATCAGCGTTGGAAATTGATACAAAAATACCACTTTTCTTGAAAATGAAAGTATACCAAGTGCCATGATTTTACAGGATGCTTTACACTGTCATTCACTAACAGTCCAGCAAGGTATTTCAAAATGATTTGGTAGTTTTATTTTTTGATGTTTGCAAATGTTGTATTTTCCCTTTAAGGTCCCAGTCTGGCAAACATCCATCGATCATAACCAACACAGGTACATGGATATGGTGCTTATATTTTGCCGTCAAATTTTCTCCGACGTAAAAGTTTACCTGTTTGTGATAGTAGCGTCACCAAAAGCGTGACTTGTATAAACAGCTGACGGTGAAGGTTGAGGGCGCTCTTGATCAAACGCCCTGGATGCCATTGTGTGTGGCTTTGCGGATGCCGCAATGTCCGTGTAGGGCTGAGAATATCCGAGTTTCTCTCGTGACGGGGGTTTCGGCTGAGAATTGTTCTGGACTCCATGCAACGAGGGCAAGTTGTTATATCTCTAGTGTGTTGTACTAATTCTGGTGGATCCATTTTAAGTTTTTTTGGGTTCCTATCGCGGGTAAGTTTCCAATGAAACAAATGGCGGGATGTTCCAAACGTTTCACTTGTATGGAATCCTGCAGGATTAAAAAAAAAAAAAAATGAAATTCACACAAATGCAAATATACAAATGTCACCTTCAATACCCCATCATCCTACATCATTAAAGTATGAGATGCCGGGAAAAAATCACAAATACAATTAGGACAAATTCCAATCTATTTGTACAAAACGATTATTGCATTTATTCCTGAACATGCTGAAGGAGCCATCCCGGACAGAGAATGTATTATCTAGGGCAATCGTGTAGTGTAGGGCTCGGTTCCTATAAGGGAACAAAATCCACTTTAAAATTATCAGACCGACCAAACTACACTGTACATGTAGTTGGCGACATTCTCAATAAACAGGTATGTCATAGATAGAGGGCAGGGTTTTGATTTTTTGAGGGAAATTTGGGGGTAAAATGATGATGACAGCGCGGCGTCAACACGCAACCCGAAAATAAAGATGGCGAAACACCGCGCAAGGCACAAACCGCGCAGGAAAATCGTGATTTCTACCCCAAGAATCTGTTCAAAATTGCAAAACGGGTGTCATTAAAATTGAGAAAAGTCTGCTTTTGATTGTAAAGGTGATTTTTGAGCAATAAAAAACATTTCTGACTCTAATTTGATCAAAACAAAACAGGGGCCCTACACTACACGATCACCATATCCAGACACCACTTCTTTGGTTGTGTACAAAGTCTATGGAGAGTCAAGTGTATTGTCAAAGTGTTTTTTAACAAAATTGGAAATGTTTCTCAGTCCCAGATTCTTGTCTTTTCATCATTTTTGCAATGACCTTCAATGAGATATAACAATAAACAAAACATAGTCACTAGTAGTACAGACTACATTGTCTACACTCGGCATGCTCGGTATGGTAATGAAAAAAGTGGATTCAGGATGCAACATTCTTTCCATCATCCCTCCCCAAACACAAATACACGCCCCCCCCCCCCCCCCCACATCGGTTTCTTAATTTCCAATTCTAAAAAGTATGTGTATTTAGTCAGTGCAAACTGAACTGCAAGCCGCACGCAAATTTATGTGTAAACAGATGCATGGCTCGGCGGCCTCCCACCAGACCCAGTCTACATGCAGAATTCGCCAGCGAACAAACATGACAAAAACCGGTGCAATGCAACAACCAAACCCTCTAGTCCTACCTGCTTTATACTGATTCTCAACAGCTTTCAACTTCAAGTCGATTACCTCATATCCAAGAAATACCTTACAGCATACGAGCGTTAAAAAAATCCTTTCTAAATAAAAGAAATCTGTTCATAATTCACGAAGACGAAGACACATTAGTCACACAAGTACAACTCGACGTGGAATACTTCTTGATGGCGAATGAGAGGGCGCCCTCATTTGACGAATAAATGTTGTGTGTAATATTTCGATCATTTTATCGTCGCGGGCAAAAAGACGCACGCCGTCGTTTTCAAAACTTCGTTTATTTTATTGTATTCCGATAAATAGAAGGTTTGACAAAGATAAAATTTGACACTTTATCCTTTGTGATTATTTCATTACCTTTTATGAATTCGGCACATGGATCTCAAGTTAGAGGCCCGCTGACGGGCAAAGGGATCACTCGCAATCGCCTCTGCAAGATAGAACTCGGACAAAAAGTGTATGTAATTATCTCCATTTATAATTGATATACGAATTCAAAACTTTTTGGAGAATGTAGCAACACTATCAAGCTCTCTACATCTATCCTTGTAAAAAAAATCTTCGAATTTCTAATGAGAAAAGGACCATGTCAGTCAAAGAAAATACTGCACATAAATAAACTTCACCACCTGTTCACTTAGCTTATCCAAAACATTTTGCAGTCGAGTCTCCACTAAATTGCTGTAGCGCCCTCTGTAGTTCTTGACAGCGAATAATTATTGCTTGGTGAAATTCACTTGGTACACACATTTGTAGATAAAAAATCACCCGAGAATCAGTCATGCTGATTGAATTTTCAATTTCATCCGCTGAGAAGCCTTTCCTATGATAATCCAAACTAGATAACCAGTTTTTGTTGAACAAATATTCAGTTTTTAGGAAAATAAATCGAATTTGCTCTCTGGGCAAAAGAGGGCGCTATACTAGCTAACCAGTCGCGGATTTTATTTACAAGAAATAGTCGTCGATTTAATTCTGGATTGAAATTTTCGCGGCTTGCGCTCTCAGCCCGTCGTAGAAAAGTTTGGAAACAAGCAAACGATATTTCATTGGAGTCACTTAGATTTACAGTTTAAAGGGTAAGTTATGTATCTTGATATATGAGCTTATATCTGGTCTGTTGTTATTGAGTAATGAGAAGTATAGTTGAAGTTTCGTAGTAGTTACTTTTCTGTTGGGAGTTTCATCTGATCTCGAACGTCGAAAGCCGAACCGAGCATTTTGAGTGGCACACACGGCCGGTTGCTAGTTTGGTGACTCCACCATGTCCACGGGTATTTACTATTTTGGACGTAAATTAGTGAATTTAATGCGAACTCAAATTATCGATTATTACAGGACGTGAATATTTTATCAAGTAACGATAATACATTTGCTTTGCTTTGTAATTTACTGTTTTGTTTTAACTTATAATACTTTAATAGCCTATAGGGGACCTATCATTTTCCTTAAAAGTCAGGACTCGGGATGTCCTTATTTTTGGTCCACTTTTTTTTTAATCATTTTTTTTACTTGACACTGACAGAAATGACACAACAACAACTTACAAAAAAAGAAAGGAAAGTGTTTTCGAACATAAGTTTGCGTATGTCTCGTAAATGTTAACATTTTATTATTTTATATTTGATTTTCCTTTGAATGAGAATTAATGCAAGAAAAACAACTTTTTAGTTTTACAACTTTTTAGTTTTACAAGCATGACAAGTGGTGCCGCGGGCACACCAAATTTCCTGTTTTGTCTTTTGTACTTTTAGGCAACTAGTCGTATGCATACTTTTGTGGGGGCCTGCATGTTTGTTTGTTTGTTTGTTTGTTTGTTTGTTTGTTTGTTTGTTTGTTTGTTTGTTTGTTTGTTTGTTTGTTTGTTTGTATATTTATTTTTTATTTATTTATTTTCTTTTTTGAGGGGGAGGGGCATGGCCTAATTCAAAGGTGGCATTCGCAACATGCATACATATATATCCAGCATTTCCTTGCACTGAAAAGGCACCCCAGAGGTCCTATATAGCACTTACATGTAAATTTCCGCTCAACCCAATTTCAAGCAATATCAGTCACTGGATTTTAGTCCAACGATCTTGATTGCTATGCAAATATTGACATCCCAAAACGAGAGCCAAAATAACCCCTTTTGTTTACACATCACTTTAAAATGCTTCAGTGTAACTCTTGTGATGACCTGAGATCGTGCAGGCCGTTGTAAATGTTGACCTTGCTAAACAAAAATGTGAAAAAAAGGCTTAAACAACACTGGTACGATGCAAATGTGAGGACACAATGTAGGGCCTACATCCAATTCTACATGTCGTGTAGTTGTCTCCATGAAATTGCAATATATGCATTGTTACCTCAATTCCCTGAAGCATTCTTGCTTGAAAACATTGTATGTAAGTAACCCAGTACATGTATAAGCACAGCCTTTGTGCTGAAACACATGCATGTAATAAATTCTTTTCATGACATTGGGACACCTTACATTTTCTGTTTTCTGCTCAAATTGTTAACCCAAAAGTTGCCCATTGAAAATATTTGTGAGAAAGATTTGGGCCTACTCATTGGCTTACTGCCATTTACTTACATTTAAACAACATTGAGTCATCGAAGAAAAGAAAATTTATGACAGCAAAATATCCGCAATAACAATTTTTTGTGCTGCAATAACTGTAACAAGTTTTCTGCTCGGAAGGACATCATAGTTTTGCTCATGAATATGCAAATTTGCATTAGCATAGCAACCGAAAAGGTACCAAAATAGGCCTACCCTTCAAAATGGCAAACAAAAATTGAAAAACAGGTTAAATTGGACACAAAGGTGTATTTTCAAGAATTGCATTGAAAAAAATAACATTGCCTAGGCAATGTTGTATCATTGATACAACAGCCCCACACACAAATTTCCATATTTGCTTTTAAAGTTAACATTCAGTTGAAAATGAAAATGGTCACCAGTCTACAGATCAAGTGTTTCATTTTTTGGAGACCACTTAGTCTCCTCTCAACACGCTGTTTACGCACTCAGCCCAGTCTGTATGGCGACCCACAATGACTTCACCCGGAGACTAGTCAAGGACCCTTCAGCGTTATTGTTGGGGCTGTGTACACGTAAACTCAATACAAGTGGACAGAATAGTTAAGCTATGGCAAGCTGTTCACGTACAGTGAAATAGCGAAGTACAGGGTGTGTAAAAAAAAAAAGAAACCCAAATGGTGGGACCATTGTTTTAGTGAAGTTCTGCATGTAGCACTTTCAATATCTAGGATATGAAAGTCCAATTCATAAGCTTTCTTTTAGTACAAGAAGCATTCAAATTGCTCATGTACTTTTCAAGTTACGGAATTTTAAACTCAACCACTGTTTTAAAGTTTACAAAAAAGGTAAGTGTTCTTTCAGCAAAACGAAAACAAATCACATAGGGATGTGTGTGAATTGTTTTCGATTTGCTGAAAGAACGCACACCTTTTTCATGATCCGTGGACAGAACTTTAAAACGGTGGTTGTGTTTAAAATTCCGTAACTTGAAAGTGATTGGAATGATTCTTATACTGAAAGCTTATGAATTAGGCTTTCATAGCATAGATTTGGAAAGTGTTACATGCAGACTTTAATTAATAAAACAAGAGTCCCGGCATTTGGGTTTCATTTTTTTTACTCACCCTGTAGGGTTCATCCAGAGAGAACTTTCAGTAAGAGTCAAAGTCAACTTGTGGAGAAATATCTCAACTTCAACAAGGCACTGTTGAACAAGTTCTGGAGTCAGTGTGAGAGATTTGGTCAGTACAAGTACTTTAAACATAAAAATGTAACCCTAACCGCCCTGAATCCTTCAAAATCCTCTTCAAATGCCAAAGTGGAGGAATTTGGAGGATTGAGGTTACATGGCAAAAGTGCATTACTGATTTCGTAGGATGCACTTTGTCAAGGTCTTGGGCCAGACCTTGTGTTGTTTTTGCTTAGCCATGCATAAATATAGGCCTGGATTAAGCTTGAAATCCTCCGCACTGCTCCAGGATGTCACTTGCCACGCCTCAACAAATTGACAGTCACTGCCACAGGATTTTGCAGGATTCAGGCAGTGGTCACCCCTCCATGGACCATATTCAAGAAATAATGGAGGAATTTGCAGGATTGAGGCTATTTTTCCATGAGGCCAATTAGAGGATTTTGCAGGATTGAGGCTACATCCTAGCAAAAAGGCCAAAGGAATTAGGGTTTTAAAAACAGGAAAATTAGCGGGCCTAACATTTGGGTCTTTAAGCAATACCTTTTTACCAAGGCAAAATTCATTTTTGTTTTTCATATTTTATGTTTATAAAGACAATTTTTTTTTTTTGGAAGACAAGGAAATGTTTTGTCTCAGAAACTTGCTGTATTAGCAACGTAATATTGCCCAAAGATACAGTTGACACCCACATTTTTTATAATAGAAATTTTTTTAAAAATATATTTGGGAATGAATACTGAGAAACATGTTGGTCCATAGTTGTCAAGACACATGTTTTCGCTCACCAAGGAAGTGTAAAATCAACTTAATGATTAACCAAGTTACCATGGCAATGTCGGTAACCATGGTTACGGCAGCGAAACCGTATTTTCTAAACAGAGTGTTTGCAGCCGGCTAAATAGAGCAAGCGTTAATAAATTTTACACGTCGCTGCCCTTTGCCCACACTAATTTACATTTGACACGTTGCTTGAAAAGAAAACCTGTGTAAAGTCTGGATCGTTGTATTCTTGAAAAATATGTGTAGATGGCATGTGAACAGTTTCCAGATTTGTCTAAACTGTAGTATTTACCCTAATCTTCCCAAATCCTCCAAAATCCTCTTTGCAAAGTAGAGGATTTGGTAAAAATGTGTGTCCATGATATTGGCAAGATGTGTATCAAGGTCTCGGCCCGGACCTTGTATTGTTGATGCTCAGTCTTGCATAAATTTATAGGCCTAGATTACAAATGTATAGGCCTACATTGTTTGTAATCCTCCGCACTGCTCCAGAATGTCACTGGCTCTGCCTCAACATACTGACAGTGATTGCTGGAGGATTTTGCAGGATTGAGGCAGTGGTCACCCCTCTAAGGACCACATTCAAAAAATGACGGGGATTTTGCAGGGTTAAGTCTGTATGGAATTTTTACATGGAGACAGTTTGAGGATTTTGCAG